AACACCACCAATATCCTGCCTAAGGTAACTTCTCCTGACGACCCACAAAGTTTATCCCAAAATCATCCTTAAAGCACATCTTCTAGAACTACTTTTTCTCTCTTAAAAGTGTCAGGGTTTCATCGTCTTCTAATAAATAAGGTGCTAAGAAACTGCATCTGACATCCCCAGTGCATTCTTTCTATCTGTGGTTTCTAGGTATCAGCTACTGTTATTATCTTGTCAGAAAGGGAAAAAAGATCCAAACATTACATATTTTCACTGTCTGTGCAAGTGTCTATCCAAAAAGTCAGATCTTAAATGAACATCATAACGAACAGATTGAGTTCAACAGCTCCAACAGTTGATGGAGGTCTCCCCTTAAATCAGTGAATACAAACCTGTAGTTTATCACTTATTTTGCCTTCAAAAGCACAGGGATGATTAAAATTCAGATAGGCAGGCCCTGTATTTATTTGTCTGAAGACAAAATTCAGTCCCTCACCATCAATTACTTGTGCATATATTGCATAGGTACAAAACACTTAATAGTTCTCTGTGGGTGTTACAATCTGAGTTAGATTAGAAATACCAACTCAACCCACCAGAGAACTGCATCACTGGTTTTAGTGAAAAGTGACTTTTAGTGTCTAGTTCTACAGCACTTTAAAGCACTGTGTTTGTTCTGCTTTCTGTTTTATTGGATAATAAACAACCAGATATTATTTGAAACTGGTAATCAGCACTGACTTCCTGATCTAAAACTCTGACACTCAGACGCAGAAAAAAACAGTAAAAAATTCCAAAGATTTGTTCCTCTAAGTCTTTCGGCCTGTGTAAGATAGTGCTTTACAGAACATTTTCCAGTTCTTTTTTAAAGGTGCATGTGACAGGGCTTTCCTCATTTCAATGGCTTCTTCTTTTTTGTGCTGAGTCTGAAAGTCCTCAAAAATGGGAATGATAGACCAACCTGGGCACCACAGAGTTCCTTTGCCTATACAGCTCATATTGTAAAATTGCAACTGTATGATGCATTGTCTTCTACCACATTCATTTTTAGGATCTTTTTACTGGCATGCAACCTGATCTATTTTGTACTTAACTACAATTCATTATTTCCACTTGACCACTCATAGAAAAGAAGATGGAAGATATGGAATGAAAATTCCAGAAATCTCAGAGGAGCCAAAGAATTAGGTGAAGGTATAAGATGTCCCCAGTCAGTCAACCTGCTACTTGTAGTAGTTGGTACAAATATCCTAACTAACTGGAGAGTATAAAAATGTCTTCTTTAATTTTCAGTATTAGAGAGAAGATTGAGGACATGAAATAATGTTTTTCTGTCTTTTAAAATATTTTTACAATACTTCTACTATCCAGATTTAGAAGACAGTAATGTAAATTATTATGAATGTAGCTGTATAATATACATATATAGCAGCTGTATACATGGATATAGTATACGTGCATAGCAGCTGCATAGCAGCTATGTTGATTTTTCAGAACTGATCTTTTTTTCTCTCGTTTACTACACAAGAATATAAAGAAATATTTTCCAAGCATTATCCTCTGGGACCGGAACCATCTACTGATTAGCAACAAGCCTGTAAACCGTCTTACAAACGTGTTGGTCATGTGATGCATGATCCTGATAGTACAGCCTGATCCTGATAATATTGCCATTCCCATGCGTTATTGAGAGTTTAGGTTGCTGCCATAATTAGCTGCCACAGTTCAGTTGCTGACACAGATTACAATAAAATTACACTGCAAAGCACTGACTGTTCTCATTAGAAGTTACCAATCTAGTAAAAGTAAAACTACAGACAAGGATAAGAAAAGTTGTAATTGGAATTGCAACATACTCCCAGGAGCTTGGGCGGTGGCCCCATCCTCCCATTGATCTATGCTGGCACATATCAGAAGATGAAGCTAAATATGTGATGTGTCATCAATATCTAGCTCAATTAAGAAAGTCTTCTTCCTTTTAACCCTTTCCCAACACATACACATTGTGATGTGAATATTATTCATCCACCTAACTTCTACCAAAATAAATAGTAAGAAGTCTTTCCTCTTAACTACTATTTTCTTTCTCTAAAGGACTTGGTATCCAGAGGGACAAGACATATTTTTCTTTTCAGCATAAGGGTTTGCCTCTGTTCTAGACTCAGCAGGATATAGCTCTGTCAAATGACAAAAATAAGCTACCTGTAACGTGCAAACATTTTTTCTATTTTTCCTTACAGAGGTAAATGGCTTGAGTGTGTAATAATTTATGTATTGGACATATACTTCAGTTTCCTTAAACTCTCTTTATTAAACACAATACATGTTTATACTATGTGATGGGATGGAGTTATGAGATCTTCTAGCTAGTGCACACGTGATCTTGTAAAACCAGATGGCAGTGGAATACTGTGCAAATATATCAGCACGCATCCTGAACCAGTACAACTGCATTCTCTGGGATGTAGCACTTGCAGTGGTGTGGCTTTCTGCCTTGGATAAGTTTGTGTGGATCCAGCTAACCATGCATTGCATTTTCCGTTCTGACACTGACTTGTGCAATCAGTGGATTGTCTTGCCACTCCTCCCTTGATTCTACACACATAAACTTCTAAAAACTTACCTAAATGTGATTCTGAAAGGAATCACAAGGACAGCTTTTATGTTACTTTTATTAACTTGACTGAATCTTTATGACAGGTTGGGTGCTAGAAGTATTAGAAAAATTCTGAAGGTGTAGTTCCCACAGATCCATAAAATCATAAACACCAGTGAAAACTAAAGAGTCTCCCTTTCCAAAATACAGATAAAAAATATGAATCTTTATTTCACCATTTGGAGGTCTTTACCCGACATGGGTGTTGTTTGCTGTCTTGAGCTGGGCAATAGAGATCAGACAAAAGCATTAAAGGTGCATATGATCTGTCAACTTACGCATTTCACCTTCTCTCATCATGGGTGGTCTATCCAGGGTAGAATAAGCCTCAGAAGTTGCTGACGCCATAAAAAAAGAAGCAAGTATTCTTCCAGTTCTTTGCTTTTAAAGGTATCATTCCCCATTTTCTCATTGCAAGGGATTGCCTTTGTACCTTTAGCAGGGGAGCATTTAATTGCTCCCACTTTTACATATCGTTTATCTTGAGATGTTGTCAGATGCATTTTCAAAGGTACGAGATGCAGAACATGGTGAAGCATCATTACTGAATTTACATGATCTTACCCAGACATTACTGAAATTCAAGCACATGATTGTTGCTGATGTAAAGGTCACGTCATAACCTCTTGTTTTGGTTATATGATGAATTTGTCCCACTTCCTGATTTTCCTTTCTCTCCCTTTTTTTATTTCCTTCCCCTCCTTCCTCACCTTTTCTTAGACCTCACTTTCCACTCTCTGATTTTTTATTTAAACGCTGACTGCACTCTCTGATGCTTATCTTGGTGTTTAGTCATGGGTGCATGATTTCCCTTTTGCTGCCATCAGTGTAAGTCAATTCCCATTCTCCCAGCAATTCTGTGTGGAAATAAACATGATCATTAATCATTTTACAGCTCACAGCCTTTAAAATAATGGCACTGGTGAAGGTAAGAGCTGCAGCAATTTTCCAGTATTAAAATAGAGTGGCCAAACTTCTTGACATGTCTTTAATTTATTAATTGTCGTCTTAGTGTTTCATATAAGGAAAAGATTATAACATCTCCACCTAGTTTGTTCTGCATTTTAATAATAATTTCTACACCAGACATGCTAAAAATATTTTGATCAACTTCATACTGCTATCACTTTTTATCTCTATTGAAAGTGTCCTTCTTGTGCCCACAGCTAACCCACTGGCACTGCACATCTGTTAGTTCTCATGCATTCCCCAACTTTGGATCAACTACATACAAATTCAGGAGCCACTGGGAAATAGGAGAAACCAGTGGAGCAGCTGAGAGCTTTCTTCCATTTGATTTAATATTTTAGCTGTTGATTCTTAGAACAGCAGGATCTTGTGAAAGAATGTATATTTAAAAAAAATATGGAAGAAAGTGATGTAGTGAGATTACATTTTCAGTTACTTTTTCTTTAAAAAAAGAAAATAAAGAATCTTGCCTAATTGTACTGTCTGCTTGCTTGTTTTCTCCTGACAGAAATAATACCTTACGTAATAGAGAAGAGCTTTAAAAGGAGACCAAATCACTGGCACACATTCTTTATCACTTTGACTGACTAACTAAAAACTAATTTCTTGCAGAGAAGTCCTTTATGGGCGAGTGGATTATTTGCCTTCCTTCTTCATGGCCTGTGGTATGAAAGCACATAATATGAACAAGGGGCACCGCCATGGTGGTGTTGTGCTCCAGTGGCTCCTGGTCGCAGAGTAACCTCTTGGAGACTGTTCCAAGCTGGGTGCATCATTCCTGGGTCGAGTCAAGTTTAAGTGATTGTGAAACAGTGAATATGGAACCCACACTCTGAAGCAGCAGCACACAGTTCTTTATTGCTGGTTCCAGATGATTGCACTATGACAAGACATATCTATTCATACAAACATAAAGGAGCTACTTTAGCTGCTTTTATTTTTTTTCTGGTAAAGTGAGAAAGATTTTCTTCTCAAGGAAGGAAAATGGTAGAAATAGATACCTCATTAGTCTTGCCCGTGGACATGTGTTTTATAGTTAGTTGAGTTGTCAGCAGTAGTTTAAAGTATTGGTCCTCCTGTAATTTCAATCACAGAATCATTAAGGTTGGAAAAGACCTCTAAGGTCACTGAGTACAACCATCAATCTAACACTGCCAGGTCCATCAGTTACCCGTGTCCCTAAGCGCCACATCTACACGTCTTTTGAACACTCCAGGGATGGTGATTCCACCACTGCCCTGGAGAACTTGTTCCAATGTTTGACCAATCCTTTCAGTGAAGATTTTTTTTCCTGATAACCGATCTACACCTCCAATGGCTTTCCAGCCACTCTGCCCCAAGCCCGTAGCGTTGCATGGGGCTCTTGTGACACAAATGCGGGACCCGGATGTTCAAGAGAAGGACCAAAGGCAGGGAGAGGAAGAGCTTGGGAATTCTAGGGAGGAACCAGCGCGGTTCTGACCGAGGGGCCGCCCCTCAGTCCCGTGGCCGCTGCGGGACGGCCGCCCGCCGCAGCGCAGGCGGAACCCTGGGGGCGGACCCGGTCGGCAGCCGGCGCCTGTTCGCCGCCGCCTTCCGCCGCCCCGCCGTTACCACGGCAACGCCGCCGCCGTGGGAGCGCGGAGTCCGGGCCGGCCGCAGGATGGTGAGGGGCGGCGGGGCGGCGGGATGGTGCGGGGCGGGAGGCGGAGGGTGGCGGCGAGGGGCGGGGAACGGGGAGCGCCGCCGAGCGAGGGCTCGCTCTGACGCGGCTCCGCTTTTCTCTTTGCCCAGATGCTCTCCCGTGCCAAGCCGGCCGTGGGGGGTACCCCGCCGCCGGGAGACAGGCGAAGAAAGAAAGGGAAGGAGGTGCCGCAGCTGGAAGAACTCCTGGCCCAGAGGGACTTTACCGGCGCGATCGCCTTGCTGGAGGTGACGGTCTCCGAGCGGTACCGTCGTTGCCAGGCCGATGCCCGCAGGGCTGCGGGTCGAGGGGAGCCCTTCCCCTGCCTCGCGTCCCCCTCGCGTCCCCCTCGCCTCCTCCCGCCCCCTCCGGGCCCTGCCGCGGCAGCTGCGGCCCCTCGCTTCGCAGAGCCTGGTTTGGCCTGAGAGGGCTGCCAGCTGCTGCCCTCAGAAATGTGAAAGCAGCTGCACCCAAGTAGCATCCACAGCTGTCAAAGCATCTGCGATATATGATAGCCTGATATTGCTTTGGTTATCTGTGGGGCTGTAGAAACTGTGTGGCAGCTGCCAAAATTCTTACATTCTTTATTTTCTACAAAGTTTAAGCAGCAAGTGGGTGAGCAGGAGGACGATGCCAACCTTTGGATTGGATACTGTGCATTTCATTTGGGTGACTACAAGAGAGCTCTGGAGGTAAGTGGGGAAGTCCCACTCCCCGAGGTTGGAAATCAGAATGTAGTGATAAAGCGATGACAACAAGAGGAAGATGGTCTGTAATCGGGAACAGCTCTGCCAGCCAGTTAAGGTACAAATGTACAGTAATGAGGCAGATGCTGTGGAAAGCAGTTTGGATTGAAAAAAAAAAAGATATTTACCTATGAAAATAGAGTTTTTTAAAGTTATCTACTATCTGATTTAATACTAGGCTCAGTAGACTAATTTGCCCTTTTGTATGTCATAGTTCATGTCCTAAATCTTCCATTCTTCCATCTCTTTTGCAGCTAGCTTTCCACAGTTTTATTTTTCATGTTTAGTTATGATTTTGTCTTCATTGTGAAGCTTATTTGTGATATGCATGATAAAATTCTCTCTTTAGAGATTGATGCCCCTGGCCATTAAATGATATGAGATTCAACAAGGCCAAGTGCCAGGTCCTGCACTTTGGCCACAACAACCACATGGAGCAGTACAGGTTGGGGACAGAGTCGATGGGTGGCTGCCAGGCAAAAAGGGACTTGAGGGCACTGATTGACAGCCAACTGAACATGAGCCAGCAGTGTACCCAGGTGGCCAAGAAGGCCAATGGCATCCTGGCCTGTATCAGGAACAGTGTGGCCAACAGGACCAGGGAAGTGATTCTGCCCCTGTACTCAGCACTGGTGAGGCCACACCTGGAGTGCTGTGTCCAGTTCTGGGCCCCTCAGTTCAGGAAGAATATTGAGGTGCTGGAGTGAGTCCAAAGAAGGGCATCAAGGCTGGTGAAGGGTCTGGAGCACATATCCTATGAGGAGAGGCTGAGGGAGCTGGGGTTGTTTAGCCTGGAGAAGAGGAGGTTCAGGAGAGACCTCATCACTCTCTACAACTGCCTGAAAGGAGGTTGTAGCCAGGTGGGGGTCATTCTCTTCTCCCAGGCAATGAGAAATAAGACGAGGACACAGTCTTTAGCTGCACCAGAGGAGGTTTAGGTTGGACGTTAGGAAGAATTTCTTCACAGAAAGAGTGATTAAGCATTGGAATGGGCTGCCCAGGGACGTGGTGGAGTCACAGTCCCTGGAGGTGTTTAAGAAAAGATTGGATGTGGCACTTAGTGCCATGATCTAGTTGACATGATGGTGTTTGGTCATAGATGGACTCAATGATCTCAGAGGTCTTTTCCAACCTAGTTGATTCTATGATTCTATAATGTACTTTATTGTTCTTCTTTATGTTTTCTTGTATTAGGTAATTCAAGTAAATGAGACATTCTCCAAAAGCTTTAAGTCACTAAAATACATGTTGACTATTCAAATATGCATACGTTTTAATATTTGTATAATACAGTTCTGTCACGTCTCTTTCAGTGCGTGAGTCCATAAGCAGTTCTTTCTCTTGTGTCCATTTATGTCTCCCATGAAGCTCAATCTTTTGCCAAACAATTTGTTTCCAGTGTCCCTGGGATCCCTTTATCTTCTCAGTAGTTCCAGCAAATTTCCCTAGAAATATTAATTAATTTTTGTTGTCTGCCTTGCCCTGTAGGCAGGCAGACAGGGCTGGCCTGAGGGCTGGAATTGTTATGCATACCAGAACAAGGAGTGGTGTGGTGATAGCCACAAAGCTCCATATAACTAGAGAAGATTTGAAAACAACTCTGTCTGCCTGAGTATTGTTTGTCTCTATTGCGCTGTTGCTAGAGGTGTGAATTGCTGGGCCCGTACGATGCTGTATTGCACTGTTAAAGGCTTATTGGTTTCTGTCAGAGTCAGCTGGAGGACATCTCCATCACAAGTCAGTGAAGTATAAGTGAAGTATAACTGGTTTTGCAGTCTTTTAATTCGCTTTCCCCAGAAGAAATATTAAAAATAGATGATAATTTAGAGTATTAAAAAAAATTAAAAAGAAAATAAATAGATTATAGAACAATGATAATATTTTCTCTTAGATAAAATGAAGTGTTTAACTATAGTAATATGTGGTCACGTGCAAAGATGCATACATGAGGTGAAAACTCTAAAGCTTCCAAATAAGTTCACAAGGCACTCTGCCCTTTAAAAATTGAAGAGGAAACATCCATTCAAGATGTTAGAGATGCTCAGGTAATTAAATTGACAGTATACACAGTACAGAATGTAGAAGAGTAGTACAGGACCTAATGGTAAATTAATATTCATGTTTAAATTTGTGGAATTTTAAGATTATGAATGTAACAATCAGTTGCTGTAGTTAATTTATATTTAGGCATCAGGTGTTAATAGGGAGTGAAAGTTTTTTAAAAAAGAAAAATATTTGTATAAAAATAAAAAATAGCTTGCAATTTCTTTGAAATAAGAAATAAATTGAAAATAAATTTGAAATAAATTCTACTCTTTGAAATGCCCAATAGATGCTTTTAGAGCCAGAGTGGATTTTATATGTTTCCTTCAAAGAAAAAGCAACAGCTTTTTTTTATTTTTTAATTCGGTTTTGCATGTGGTGTTTGAATCACCACTAGGGGATGCTGTTGATTCAGGCTTTTAAAAACTGCAACGTAGTCGTCTATTTCCCATTTTTCCCGTTTCTCTGCCCAAGTAGGGACAATAAAAGGTTTGTCTCAATGGTTTGTGGATTGTTTTAAGTTTGTGGATATGGGTGTTTTAAACGAGAGATCACAGGGCCTATCTTTTCAGATTTAAGACTGATTTTTGGCACAGTGATGAGTCCTGATAGCTCTCTTATTTTTGTAGTCACATGTGGGAAATGAGCCTTTGCATCTCAGCGTAGTTTCTTTGGAGACTGACCATTGTAGTTGTAATTCCTAAGCCTGCGGGAATCACTCCACTGACTGTGGAGACTGAACTGCCTTTCACTTAGCTTCAAGGTTGAAGTATAATGCTGCATCTCCTCTGCCGTGTTACAAAGGCACTGTTGCTGTATTCTCAAGGGCAAATTCCTTGATTATCTATACACTTGAGATCTTGGAGCATTCTTTAGGGAATGCCAAGAGCACTGTAAATAAAATACTATGGGTCAAAGATTCTGCAGAATTCTCCAGAATGACATTGCACACAATCTAAATTATTTACTCTCCTGTGTGTGCCTTCTGGTGACAACACATAGTCTGTGTCACTATATTCACAGTTCATGGTTTGTAGTCCATATACCTATGGGGTACCTATGAGGGTCTTCAGAAATTATGCTGTTCAATCCTTTTATTTATAATGATACTTTCGCAGTGTTGGTTGCATAGCAACTTTTGGACAAGCTCAGGAATTGGGGTGAGGTGGCCATCATCCATCACGGGGAGAAATGGGGAAAAAGTGAAAAACACACAGACCTTCAGCTCCAAGAATATTTCCAGAGAGAATGACAGTAAAATTGCTGTCACATTCATGTGAGAGAATTCACACTCTCTTACCACAGGCACACAAACAACAGTCAAATATGCTCTAAATAGAACACTAACCTCAGCTTCACTAGGGTCACACTTTCCCCTTCTTAGTAGTAGATGCCTTTCTGAAAGGTTGTGCCACTGACACTGGACTGGTGGGATCATTCCTACTGCTGTACATCAGTTTACAAATGATATTGCACTGGGCTTGACTCTTCCAGCAGTCACAGTACAGCCCTTCCCTGGGGACTGACTAACTTTCTTCACTGACAAACTTATTTTTACTAACACTGAGTGGCTTGTATCTTCCTGGCATCATATCGCAATCAGAGCTTCCCTAGTGGATGGCAGCATCTGATTAGTTTTCTGGAGTTTTCCACATCTATTGTCCCTAATGGGGAAAAACCCACCTATCTTTCTGCCATGACTTGCTCATAGCTCTAATCTTAAACCTTTCCTGAAAAATTTCCCACTGTCACCCAAGGACCGGAATCAGAGCATCAGTCCAATGATTCTGTTTCTAAGCTGCCTGATCTGGTAAATTGAAGCAGCTGGGGCCTAGGAAAGGGAGGGTATTATTATATCTATATAATATTATACATATATTTAAGGTATTTAACATTTAAGAGAGGAATTGGCAAGGGCAGATGCAGTGCTTGGTTGGATTCAAGAACAAGTTTCACCCTCTGACTGGGCTTTAGGCACACAGGATTCTGGCACGGTACAGCTCTTGGACATGGTAATGCCATTTTGGCCCATCAGCTGCACACATGAGAGCAAAGCATGATCCCTGGGCCAGAGCCTTCAATGGATCATTTCTGTCAAAATATCACAAACTACATGTAGCCCGCGACAGACAGACTCTCCAATCTGCCACCTCCCTCCTAGCAGAGAAGTAGGAACCATTCCACCTCTTCAATGGACAGGACCTCTTGCCACCCTGACTTTGCTAAGGATAATTTCAGTCAAATAGTAACTCATGGAAGGAACAGGACTGTGCTTGGGTAAGGGTTTGTCCATGAGTAGTGTCTGGTCTTGCTTGAGTACTTTTGTGGAAAGTGTGATAATACAGGTACACTCAAGTTACTGACAGCTGAAGCTGGAAATTAGAAGATGGATTTTTAGCTCTGGGAGTTCTCTAGACTTCTCTGTTACGATTCTAGCCAGGTTATGATGGGTATCTCCACACCTCCTTTGAGCACTTGTGGGACAGCTGTATAGTTGGCCTGTTTATTGGCTTTTCAGGATCTGTGTTTGTAGGGTTGGAGAATCCAGACAAGTAATAAGGGCAGTGAGATGGCCTCAGCATTGTGTCTGTAGATGTAGGCAATCATCCTGGCAGCCTGCTTTTGAGGAAAATCGCACGTGTCTCGTGATAGGGGGGTGAGGTGGAGCAGGGTGAATAGCAAGAAGTTGTTATGCTCCTGGATGGCAAAAGTATGCCACAAGGTTGACTGTTGGGAAAGCTTTCAGAGTATTTCATTTGTTTGCTTTTGTTGGTTAATTTGGAGAGGAGGGGGTAAAGCCCTTGTGAGGTAGTCTTTTAGCAACTGATGTTGAATGCCTTTCAGTGAGGAAAGGGGCAAGAGCACAGAGTCTGGGTGCAAGGCCCAGAACTGCAGGATAAGGAGCACTAATTGTCCTAATTTTTATTTACTGTGTTTCTATAGATCCACGTTGGTACAGCTTGAGCACTTTTTAGTTATTGCTTGCTTTGAAAGGCTAAGCCAGAACTTGATTTGTGTTTATGCACTTCGTCTTTTCTAATTAATCTGCCTGAAGCCCTAGCTGAAAGAGACCTTTGGGTGCATTTAATCTGAATGGGTTTTGAAAGATTCCAGATGGTCCCAATAAACAGCAGTGGCCTGTCTCTCAGAGCTCCATGACAGGTCTATGTCAAGATTAAACTGGCCTCAGTAGGAAAGGTTGGCCTCTATGTAAAAGTTTTCTATTATTATAATTGTTTTTATTTATTTATTTATTTGAAATACTGTTGGATAGCTAGTCCCTGAAGTACCAGCAACACTGAGCTGGCTTTTAAGGGCATTCCTTACCAGTACCTTCTCTGTTTGGGAGTGCTGTTTACTTTCACTTAGCAACAGAAAAAAAATTCTTTTTGCTTGCAAACTATAAACTTTGTTGTTGTCAGCATATTTCTGTTCTTGGGATTCATTGTCCTTTGGGCATGGCTTATTTTATCTAGTGCTGTGTATATATCTATCTGTATCTATATATCTATATATCTATATATCTGTCTTTTTTTCACAGAGGTAAGAAGTTTCCCACCCCCAGTGGCTCAATCTGCTGAACTCTCTCTAGGCAGAGGGAAATTCCAATTCATATATTTGGAGGACAAGTATAGAGTCAGCAAGGGGTTGTGTTGCTGGGAGGGGTGAGAGGCTGATGGTAATTGGGAGTATGTGGATGACATTGTTTCAGCAGGTCTTATGAGAACATTGTGTGACTCTGCCTGCTTTGCCTTATGCTGCCTGTTGGATATGGATGGATGGAGAGCAGGAGCACCAGCAGCAGGCACTTTCACTGGGATGGTCCTTCCTAGTAATTTATCAGAAAGTGAGAGAGGAAAAAAAAAATGGCATTGAGAGATCTCCTTACTTCTTTTTCTAATACCTACTGTTACACTGAGTAAAGATGTTTATCTTCAGGAATGTCATTGTTTGGTAGCTGCAAAAACTTTTTTGTTTAAAAAAAGTAGATTGAAAGATTGATTTGTTAAGTTTTTGCTGTTTCACAATAACAAGAAACTAAGCAGTTTATCTGGCAGTATTAAAGGATATGTACCTGAGATTAGCTCAGTTGGTCAGAGCATGGTGCTAATAACAGCAAGGTCATGTGTTCAATCCCTGTACAGGCTATTTCCTTAAGAATTGGACTTGATCCTTGCAGGTTTCTTCCAACTCAGAATATTCTGTGAAATATGTGGAATGAATGTGGATGTGCAAGAAATATCAGAATATGGTATCTAGTGGCTTTCTATAGCTGTTGGCTGTAAATCTTAAAATGGAAAATGGTAAAGTTAGGCTCAATTTAGTAATATTTACTATAATTTACTAATCTTATCTATAAGGAAATCTTGAATTTGCCCTGTACCAACTTATAGGCTTGTGTTTTAATGCAGTGGTCTCCAAACAATTTTGCTCATGCATCCCTATCAATAAAAAATTTTTGAGTACACACCCCCAATATGTATGCACATCTATACATTTATAAATTACATACCTGTACTACTGTACTAATATGTCACTATAAAACATACACGAAAATAGAAAGTAAAAAAAGAAGGAGGTAAAGATTAAATAAACACTATTTAAAAATATTTATTTTAGTTATTAATAATACCAAAACAAATTTTCTTCCTGCAATTGTGGTATTATATTGCATAACCTCAGATTTAGATTACACCTTGGAGTCCACGGCTTAAATATATACTAAGACACTACCTACAGGTTTACAAAAACCTGTTTAACACTCCAGTAAATATTCACAAAGAGATTTCCCGGGTATTTATGGTTCCCAGGCTTTGACTGGAGGAGAACTTAGGAAAGCATCAGAAGTGACTGAAGAAAAGTTGATTATATTGCTGTCTTTATAACTTAGATATGTTGGAGTTTATAAATGTAAGCAGCATATTTACAATATAAATATTTTTTGTATCTCTATAACTTCAATATTGACTGAAATCATGTTCACACAGTGGAGATTTATAGCACTGCTTGTCCCTGTTGTCTGTTCTATTGCTGTAAACAAAAAAGAGTTAGGAACATATCTTAGGTTAAGATGTAATAGTTTTGTTGTAAGAACTGCAAAGAACTTCAGAATAAGGTGTTTGATCTCAGTAATTTAATGATACCTTGTAAAATGGTGGGAGAAAGAATGATATTTAATACATATATGTGCTATTACACATTTTTTGAAAATCGACCCTCTCTTCTGTTACAGGAGTATGAGGCCTTAACCAAACAACCAACTTGCAATCCAGATGTTTGGGTGAACCTTGCCTGTACGTACTTCTTTCTGGGGATGTACACGCAAGCAGAACAAGCAGCTTTGAAAGGTGAGATGTATGTCTCTGTTGGAAAGGACTGCTTATTGACTCGAACACTGAAAGTGATTTCCAGAGAAGTACGCAATGCTTTATTTTCATAGGAATAAAGGATACATGTGACCAAAGTTGTTTGGGTTTGGGTTTTTGTTTGGGAGTTGGTTTTTTAACTTTCATTTAACAGGACAGTTGTGATGCAGTTTGCTTCCTAAAAATACCTTGGGCATGTGGAGCAGCGGGAACTGAAAGAAGCATCTGGAAAATCATTCCTCTTATTAATTTCTAAATACAAAACCCAGCATACATCGACTAGCAACAAGAAGTCACTTTTCTTTTGACTGATTCTGTGTCTCTGAGCCAGTGCAGATGAAGCAAATTAGGCTAGTGAAATTATAAAAAAATAAGCATCTGAGGGAACTCAGCATTCTCCCTGATATGGACAAGAACTCTGTTTACATAGTTTGAGTGACTTAGTAGGTGGTTTTGTTGCTTTGTAAGTCAGATACTAGGTATCTGATTCCTCAAGGCATGGAGTTCACTGCAGTCACATTATTACAGTCCTGCTTTAATCTGAACATGCATGGGATCATTTAAAGGAATGGAATTTAGATTCCAAGGCAATTCTTACTACCTAAAAATGTTTCTGTAGTTTCATTTTGTTGCCCATCACTTTTCATATATCTTTGTGATTTATGTTGTCTCCCATAACCATAGTATCTCAGTGCTTTCTCAGTGATAGCTCAGTCAACTTCTGACTCTTGCCTTTTTAGGATAAAACTCTTATTGAAGTATGGGTTTTCTCCTTTCTTTCATTAGTCTACTTGTCTTGCACTGAAAATAGAGTAGGGAGGAAATAATATGTACTTTCTTCTGCTGTGAAGGAGTGCCTTCCAAAAGGACAGCTTTGTAGTATTTTTAAAAAATAATTAGATATCTTTTTAAAATCCCCAGAAAGAGTATTGAGCTCATGCTGAGCTGAAATCCCACAACTGAAAATGTTTTGTTTCCAACTATAAAAAAATCTCATACAGAGCTTTGTGATTTGTATTGTTCAAGAGGTGTGCAAATTTCTAGTGTTCACAAATCATTTAATCTTTAATGTACCAAAAATTTGAGCTTTGGAGATTGCAATCTAGGACTTGAGGTGAAATCTAAAAATAAATGGGCAGTAGAGCTCAACATGTCACTGTGACCTAAACCATGGAGGAAGCAAGCAGCTGCATCCTGTACCAGCTGGAGTCATTTTCATCAGCTTCACGTCATGTGATTTACAGTAATCCATTCTAGAGATGACATATACACAGCTGGGCCTGCAGCTTGATTAACTGTGAGCTGTGAGTGAGGGAAGGTTATTCTTTTCATACCCCTTCAGATTAGTTAATGGTAGCCTCATGAGTGGCAGGGTAGGGGATGCAGTTAGTGGTACTAGGGTGCTGGAGGCAAGGGTAGGAATATCAGGAAGGGAGTACAAGACATAGGGAGTGTAGCTGAGAGAGGGAACAGAAAATAACTGAGTGCTCCCATTAGTTCTGTCAGTTCCTGATTTTATGTAATTATTGGAGAAGGAACAGCGTCCCAGTTTTTATAACGAGGTGCTAAAACTTTCTTGTGAGTACTGTAATACTGATGATTTCTGGCTACTTAAGCTTGGTGGTTAGGAGTCATAGCTGAAGATTTATAACACTTGTCCTTTTTCCACTGAAAGCTTCCAAGTGTGCTATATTCCCCTTTCCACTCCCATCACTTCAGTCTTTCTTGTATTGAGTTTGAACTATTTTATTTTTGTTGAAGTCGGATCCTCTTTTAGTTTTTTTTTTAACATCTTAGGATTGCATCAATGATGGCTGTTCGTAATATATTATTGACAACTGAGGCCATATCATCTTGTGGTCTCTTCCATGGTTTTGCAAAGATCCTGAAGAAGCAAAATATTTCCTTCAATATTAACACAACAGGTGAAGTCTTTAACAGAACACCATTTTTCCAATGCTGCCTTGAATACTGCTGAAAAAATTGTAGGTGGTGTTAATGTTAGGATGCTTACCATGGCTATTTTGGGATTATTTTGTCTGAATTCTTGCATACTGTGTAGTGTTTATTGCTGCAGTTATGCTAAGCCCCTAAAAGTAGCACAGTACTAAAACAAATTAAGGAGAACTAATTTAAATTTAAATTTAAAATTAAATTAAGGAGAACCAATTCAGCGATAATTCTGAATTTCTACAGTAATAGAATCTCTGTGTGAAAGGGAACATAAATGTGAGCTAGCTTTCTGGAATAGGTTTTCCACACAAACATATAAATATCTAGAAATCAAATCAAATTCCTTCTTGCCGTGTACTGTTGCTGTTACTTAAGAAAATTATTGTTAACCATCTGAGGAAAAATATGCTAGACACTTAAAAATTAGGAAATTATTGTTAAAAGCCATGAGCTAGTTATTGCATTTATAGTCCACAATCTCTTGTGGATCAAGGTTTTATGTTTATTTTATAACAGATGTGAACTGTTCTCTCTCATTACTTAATTAAAAGTTCATGGTGATTTGGGACAGCCAGCAGGGCTTCACCAAGGGCAAGTCCTGCCTGACCAGCCTAGTGGCTTTCTATGAAGGAGTGATTACATCAGTGGGTAAGGAAAGGGCTACGGGTGTCATCTGTCTGGACTTTTGCAAAACTTTTGAAATGGTTCCCCACAACACCCTTCTCTCTAAATTGGAGAGAGATGGATTTGATCAGTGGACTGTTCGGTGGATTAGGAATTGGTTGGATGGTCACATCCAAAGGATAATGGTCCATGGCTCAGAGTCCCAATGGGCAGCAGTGACCAGTGATGTCCCTCAGGGGTCTGTACTGGGACCAGTGTTATTTAATATCTTCATTAGTGACAGAGGGATCGAGTGCACCCTCAGCAAGTTTGCAGATGACACCAAGCTGAGTGGTGCAGTGACACACCTGAAGGATGGGATGCCATCCAGAGGGATCTGGGCAAGCTCAGAAAGTGGGCCCACCTGGGTGGGGGAAACCCCACTGTTGATGAAGACTGTGGGAAGAACAGATCGAGAGCAGCCCAAGCACTTGGGGGTGCTGGTGGATGAGAGGCTGGACATGACCCAGCAATGTGAGCTCACAGCCCAGAAAGCCAAGTGTATCCTGGGCTGCACCAGAAGCAGCCTGGGAAGCAGGTTGGGGGAGGGGGTTCTGCCTCTCTCTCTGCTCTGGTGAGATCCCACCTGCAGTGCTGCATCCAGCTCTGGGGTCCCAGCACAGGAAGGACATGGAGCTGTTGGAGCAAGTCCAGAGGAGGGTCACCAAGTTGATCAGAAGGATGCAGCACCTCTCCTACAAGGAAAGGCTGAAAGAATAGGGATTTGTTCAGCCTGGAGAACAGAAGGCTTCAGGGAGACTTTATAGCAGCCTTCCAGTACCTAGAGGGGGTTTACAAGAGAGCTGGAGAGAGACTGTTAACAAAGGCATGTAGTGACAAGACAGGAGGAATGGCTCTTAACTGAAAGACGGTAGGTTTAGATTAGATGTAAGGAAGAAATTCTTTACTGTGAGGGTGGTGAGGCACTGGAACAGGTTGCCCAGAGAAGTTGTGGATGTCCCATCCCTAGAAGTGTTCAAGGCTAGGTTGAATGGGGCCTTGAGCAACCTGGTCTAGTGGAAGGTATCCCCACCCACAGCAGGAGGGTTGGAACTAGGTGATCTTCAAGGTCCCTTCCAATCCAAGCCATTCTGTGATTCTGTGATTCTCTTAGGAAAGAATAAATCTGTATATCAAAAGTCATATAAAAAAGAATTACTGCAAATTTTGCTCTACCTAAGAAGTAGAGCAAAAAGGCAATAAAGAAAAATCCGTCCTTGGAGGTTTTTCATTACTGTTGTATTTTACCTCTTCTAGGCTTTCTTCCAAATTTCTATCAGATATTTCTGGCTTCTCCTTTTTCCCTGCTGTCTGCTTACATTACAGTTACTAATGTTCCTGCATCTGAGGTGAAGGTAGAGTTACTTCCAAGTCAGCTACTGTTGTTTTGTAGTCATCCCATAGTGAAGCTGCCAAGTGATGTTTTGTTTACTCCTTTTGCATCTGTGCTCTCATACGTTGGCTGAACATGTGTTTTCCATGCTGTATGGTAGCCCATCTAGTCTTGAGAGAATGAGGCTGAAAGTATTCATCTTGGTTTAATAATGAATAATAATTATAACAAGTTACTATTTTTTTAATTATAGAAGCTAATGCTCTTATGTTGTACTCGTGGTTCCTGTGCCTTGCAAAGGCCAAAGAACAGAAACTCAGCCTTGCACACTGGGACCATGATCCTGGCAACTGATCCAAGTATTTAGAAGCCTGCGTAGTGCCCTTAGAAGCTGTTGGCTTGCACTGCATTAAGATGTAAGAACTCAAAGTGTTCTTTTAAACCACAAAATGTGCACCTAAGTGGGGCTGCAGTTAAGTCTGTTATGAAAAGCAGTCTTTTTAGGATAAATGGAATTTTACAATTTAAGATTCATGCACAGACAGGGTTGTATTGTTGAACCAGTCATTAAAGCTGGGGGGGTTTCACCCCTTCTAATTTTTGATGGGAAAAACTTTGTAGTTGCTTTGCTTCTTCACAACTCTGCATGTGTCAGATCTGAATGTGATTTAACTGAACAGAGAACTTCTCATTTTACAGCCTATACTGGAAGGAGCAATATTGTACAAAAGCAGAACAGAGATGGGTTAGCAAGAACAATGACATTTTCCAAACCAGTTTTACTTATGCATGTAGTAATGTTTGCCAGGTGTCAGATGGTTGTCACCAGTGAAAATGTGTGGATACAAGTGGGCATGGAAAAGTTATTGGGTTTTCTTTTACTTAGGATTGCATGTTCACCTACATGCAAAATTATCTCCTTGCTGCTTGTGCTGTATTTCTTGAGAACAGCAGTTATTTTCAGTGCATTTTAGTTGTGGTTTTGAACCAGAAGTTTCATATATGGAACTTTCAAAGTGCACAAGTGAAAATATCACATATTTAAACTTTAAAAGCTACTAGCCTTGTTTCCTTCTTTTGTTTTTTAAAGTATAGTCAAAGTTACAGACCAGGAATAATTAGTTTGATGATCTTTAACTTACTGTGCTTAGACATGACTGCCATGAAATGTGTATATATTGCAAGTAACTGAACATAGCTGAATGCCTTTTAAGTATTGTGGGAATGGGAAAATTTCAGTGAATGTCCTCTGTAAATTTCATTCAAGAAAATTCTGAGCAGTTGAGCTGTTCAAGTGCATTTAAGTGTGAACCTCACTGCTGGACCACGGGCTTTTTTGACCATTTTTCCCATACCCTTACATTTTTTCTCCACCAGTGAAACCGTGGTTTTGAGGCACAGAGGGCTTCATTCAGCTACTGTATTCAGGTGAGCAGGGCGTTGTTTCTCAGGGACAGGAGAATAAGGTTTCCTCTGGTCATGTTTTCTACTGTCAGGATGGAGCCTTCTCAGCCCTGCTCCATTCCTACCAGCTCCTGCTCCATGTGTTTAAGGTGTATTCCATGCCTGTCAATGTGTGAAGTGGTGCTATAGCATATGCATTATGTCTGTTAGATGGGATTTGTTAATGCTGGATGCATGACCAGCATTGCCTTGCACTCTCATGAGAGGGCACCAATGCCACACTGTCCATGACTCTATTTCATCATATATTTTTACTGCCTAAGGCAGCAATATGGAATCCACCTAGAGTCTGAGCTGGCATTTCTAGTGAGTTTAACTTTTTGTTTAATAATTAGTGAAGATAATTGTCTTCATTCCTATTGTAGCTGTTTATTATATTTTAACAAATACTTCACTAGGTGCCTGTCAGTGTCAGTACATAAAAATATACAGAACATCTTTAAGATCCATAACAGCTATGACTTTAGCGCCTGGAAAAACAGCACTGATCATGACAAAAATTCTAGTGTAGGAGTATCAGTGTGTTTCATAGATGGAAAGAGATATATCCAATCCAGCTACCTCAGTGCTTCAGCACAAGGTCAGTACTAGACCTGGAGCAGCATCCAGTTTGTTGCCGTGCAGCATTGCCATCATGTTTGTTATGATCCCTAGATTGCTTAGTACTGATTTAAACAAAAAAAAAAGTACAATCATTGTCTTGAAAAAGTAGAACAGAAAAAGAATATTGTGCTTCGTTGTAGCATTAATAGATCAGTGACAATAAAATTCTGTAGCAGCAGAGAGTAATAAAAGAACAAGCCTAATGTCCCTTAAAAATCATTATTGCTGATGAGGCAGTTATATGACTTCCTGCTCCAGTGATTGACAACATCTTTATCCAATATTCATAACCAGATTCTTTCTGGAAACTAATCTGTCCTTGTTCGGATGTTTCCTTGTCTTCCTCAAAAAATGCATTTGGCACTGAGAGAAAAGAAACTGCTGATATTGAATGTTTCCATATTTCTGCTTACTCTATCAACAGGGCTATATTTGTGGGGGGGTTTAAGCATCTTATTTTAAAGAATATCAGATAGATAGTATCATATGATATCTTATGAAGCAGGACATTTTTTCCTCCCTCCATATATCCGTGCACACCATCAAAACTCAGATTTCATCTTTTGCCTGTTTTTAGGTGTAAATAACATGGTCTAACCCTCCAGCTTTTGCCAAGAAGTAAATAATAATTTTGATGTCAGATCAGATGCCAGATTTACAAAGGCAGCCTGCAGTCATTGGTTGACTGGTGAAGCAAGAATTCCTTGGTTTAGGTTCTTGACGGAGTATTGCTTGCAAGTGACCATTTTCACAGTGAAATTAATGCTATAACCCACTCAAAAGGAAAAAAAAAAGGAAAACCTACTCAGAAGAGGAACACTGATGTCTTTATCCATAGCACTGTGATTATACAATATGTTATTTTCAGTGTAAATCCCACAATCTGTCATGCTTGTATTTTTGGAATCTTTGATGACCAAATGTTTTGAATTGTAAAGGGTGGTTGTGGTTTAAGTTTCACACAAAAGCACATGTGGAGTCCATGTGCAACCCTTCTAAATTTCGATATTAAAACGTATCAGTTAAAGCTGGGGCACATGTGGAGTGAAGAATATGCATTTAAATTAAGGTACTCTCACTTTCTAACTCAGTGGATGAAATATCCATACTATCATGTCAGTTTTACTGCTCCTGCTGCCTATACAATATTGATTATAGATCAGAAAACTTTCTGTTCTTTAATAATTAGTCTAATGAGAATTCCCACATATATCCTAGACTGAAGACCATTTAGCTTCTTAATAACTTGGTGCTCTCTTAGAAGTATCTTACAAGATGTGGTTTTGTGAGAATGCTCTCATACTGCCTTTGTATTTTGGGACTTCTCTGCTCCAGCAGCTTTTTAAAGACGCAATTCACTGTCCTCTTTTTTCTAGGAACGTGGTTAAACAACACAGCTTGGGAAAGAGGAAAGGGGAGAAATAGTTGCTTTACTTGTTAAAGTAGGTGGGCAGCCTTGCACCGCCAATCTGATCAGAATGGCCTGGGTTTTGGCATTGTCCACAGTGTTACAAAGTTCACTTACTATGTGGAGAAAGAGTAAGAAGTCTGGAAGTCTCTCCCTAAATTGCATAAAAAAAAAAAATAATCCATCTTCAGCAGGGTGGTGGGGAAGAGGGTTTGGTGGTTTGAGCCCTCTTTCATGGTTTAGGACGTCAGAAGAATTATAGCCTTGTGTTACAGGCTATTGCTTTGCTAACTCTGCACTTTCATGGCCTTATGAACACAGTAAGTAATTCTGCTTTTTTTAAAGATTCCATGTACACCCTTTCTGTGGAACATAGGTTGCCAGCTAGTTGGTCTGAGCAGGAATGAGAGTGCTCATTAACTGAGTAGGCTAACAAAAATACACGAAGCAAGGGAAGGATTTTTGGGAGACTGCTTGCAACAAAAATTAATAGCTCTGTTGGATGATGATATTTGTCTCTCAGTGAAGCAAAAGGCTCTAGTGACTTAAAGCTCTTCAGTTAACAATTTTTGTCATAGGGAGTGAGTTTACTGGAATTCCTAATCCTGCTAGAGTGAGAAATTTCATGAACTTTACTGGCTTCAGAAAGGAGATATCTCCCTTAAATTTCTCACCATATCTTAGTTTGAGTCTTATCTGCTCTGACTGTAGGATTCTTTTGTATGCCTTTTGTTCCTAAGGACAGGAGAAATACTAGAATCACATAATCACAGAATATGCTGAGTTAGAAGGGATCCACAAGGATCATCAAGTCCAACCCTTAGCTCTGCACAGGACCATCTCCAAGAGTCATGTCCTGAGTCCCCATGTGCCTGAGTATTGTCCAAACACTTCTTGAACTCTGGCAGGCTTGGTACTGTAACCACTTCCCTGGGGAGCCTGTTCCAGTGCCCAGTCACCCTCTGGGTGAAGAACTTCTTACTAATATCCAACCTAAACCTCCCCTGACACAACTTCAGGCCATTTCCTCAGGTCCTGTCACTGGTCACCACAGAGATCAGTGTCTGCCCTTCCTCTTCCCCTCACGAGGAAGTTGTAGACTGCAATGAGGTCTCCCCTCCAGGCTGAACAGACCAAGTGACCTCAGCTGCTCCTCATACGGCTTTCCCTGAAGACCCTTCCCCATCTGCATTCCCCTCCTTTGGACACTCTCTAACAGCTTAATATCTTTCCTATATTACAGTGCCCAAAACTGCACACAGTATTCAAGGTGAGGCCACCCCAGTGCAGTGCAGAGCAGGACAATCCCCTCCGTCAACCGGCTGGTGATGCTTTGCCTGATGCCCCCCCAGGATATGGTTGGCCTTCCTGGTTGCCAGGGCACTGCTGACTCATATTCAACTTAGCGTCAAAGTATAAGGTGCATACACAACAAAATGGTAGCAGCACTGGGTTTTTCAATACACTGGAAGTTGAGAAGATTCCTTGAATTATAAATCACAACCTACTTCAAATGTGACGTATGATAGAAGGAACCTTGATCATGAGTTTATCTCTTGCTGCTTTTTATTTTGAAAAGGTGTTATGCTTGTGTGTCACAAAAAAATCCCCAGAGAATTATCCAGAAATCCCTGCATGGAAATGATAGTGTGATTCCTAGAAGTTTTAAGCTTCATGGAAGACAGAGGCCAATGAAAAATTATTTTCAACAGGGATTTCAAAAGAAACAGTCAGAGAAAGAAGATAGGAAGGAGGAAGACCTTTAAACCACTCTAAAATTGGCAGAACCTGCCCTGAGGCATGACCTGCAAAGGCCTTTATTGAAGGACTGTACTTGGGCTACTTAATGAAAGAATATGGGTGCATTCATGTCTGTTGAGAAAGAGAGTTAAAAATAGACATCCTGAGTTGTTCTTTACAGCAGTACTTACTGAATTTTCCTTTCAGCACCAAAGAGTGGTCTCCAGAACCGTCTGCTCTTTCACCTGGCACATAAGGTATGATGTCTTTTCTTCACTCGTGCTTTGTTTGTTTTCTTTTCAGTTTGGTAAGGTGTAATTTATGCTGGCAACCTGGCAGAATAATTAAAACGTCTGTTGTGGCAGAAGAACAAATGTTTTCCATAACCACCCTCCTGAATTAAAACGTGGAGGAGAAAATAAGTGTGAAAACATGATCTCAGAATAGATACCCTCAGCATGTTTCTAAGGGAAGTCTTACCAGTACACTTCACATAAGTTGTACAACAGGAGCCTGATGACATTTTTGATCACAAGGAGCCTGGAACATTAATGTATAAGCCACTATTTTTACCTTTTTTTTTTTTTTTTGGAAGTGTACCAAGTTTTCCAAACTTGCAGCTCTCTTATACTTGGCAATTTGACCAAAATGGTGTATATGCTATTACTGATCCTCCTAAGTAATTCAGTATCCAGGAAGTCATATTGTTAATAGCATGAAATTTACTTTAATTTCAGCAACAATTAAGTGCTTATTTCACTTACCGCACATAGCTATCTTCCCTTAAATTAAGTTTTGTACCACCCTGTGTTATATTTAACAAGTATTCTGCTACTGAGGACACTGAGTTGAAAGAAAGTAAATGTTAGCTTTGATGTCAGATTCTCTTTACTTAAATCTCTCTTAATTTTAAGAGAGAAATCTTTAAACTGTTTTTGTAGTGGCGCTGGCACTTACAGATGTCAGTGATGAGCTAGGAATTAATCAACTTCTTTTCATCTAGTAAGTCACTGGAAATAAAGGGTTTTATGAAACTATGAAGCCCATTGCCTTTAGTTCTGTTGAGCAACTTATCTTGCCTTTTATCTGGAGTATCATTTTGTGACAGGCTCAAAGAGGGAGGAAAAGAATCTGAAGAAAACTGAGCTGATAGGTAGGAAAACAAATACATAAGATTAGAATTTGTGTGTAAGAGAAATTCATAATTATTATTGAAACAGCAAAACCAGCAAAGGGAAGCACTGGAATAAGTGACTTGAGTAGACTGCTAAGGTAAATAACCTCAACTTTACTTTTGTAATACAAATATAATGTGTATGTTTAACTTTGTTCCTTGTTTTTATCTTATGTGTGTGTATTATGTGCTATTCAGCAATGCTTTTAAAAATAAATCATTTAGTTAAACTGAAATTTTAAGGAGCCAGTGAAAGAGAATTTGTTAGTGCTGTAAAGATGTCTTGTGAAAATTAGAGCTTGTGTGTTGGCAAGGCTTGCATTTTTCTGCTATCCATGAGAAATTAGATTTGGATCTACAAACAGCAGAATTTTTTCTGGCTTGAATAACAGTCAAATTTTGTGTTGCGAAATTCTGTTTGTGAAATAATTAATTCAGCTCTTTCCCTCTTATCCATCAAAGCATGTGACATCTAATTATATCTAAATCACACCTTCAAGGAAAATGTGTGCTTAGTTTTAGCCTAACATTTATCCAGTTTGAACTGATCTCCTTCTTCACTGGTCATATTAACTTTAAAGTAACAGAGTTTTTCCAAATGTTTGATATTAATCACCTGCTGTTTACCAGCAAAACTAATCTAGCTAATTAAAATAGTTTTCTTGCTGAACTCATCTGAGGATGTGTCACGCTCTTTTTAGTTCAGTGATGAAAAGAAATTGATGAGCTCTCACCAGAATCTGCAAGATATTACAGAAGATCAGCTTAGCTTGGCATCTATCCACTACATGCGGTCCCACTACCAAGAGGCGATTGATATCTACAAACGCATTCTACTTGAGAATCGGTGGGCATCTCTAAGCCTTAGTGCAGTGTCTGTGCTATTGCTGGTATTTAAATTCCATAGAGTTGCTTGGTTTCTGAAACCAAGCATGGGCATTTTCCACAACTGCTATGTCCTTTTCGTATCGCAAAATGTGCATCAGTTGCAGCCCCTCAATTTTGTTCATTGCAAAGTATTTTTAAAAAATGAATGTTTAAAAAGAAATCTGCTCTCTGTTGTTTTTTTTTTAGTGTTACTGTTGTGTAATTCATTCTGATATCTTTTTTTATTTTGTTACTTATTTCTTCTGAGATGATATATGGTTATGTACCTGCTTTATCTTTTTCCTTTTTCCCCTCTGATGGCCAGTCTGGTGATCCTTGCTTGAATTATTGACTTCTTCACCTCTTAGCCTTTCTAGGAATGGTTCGGTTGTTGGGTTTATGTAAAGTTCCTTGCATTCCTTGAAGTCTGAAATTCTTTCCTTTTCTATTTATCCCCTTTGACACTTATTGATGGTTTTTCCTATCGTGTTCTGCAAATTTTTAATTCACAATTTAGGAAGAAACAAATTGAATTCTTAAATAGCTGGAAGTATTGTTTAATAAAATAGAAACTGCTGTCCCAGAATACAGCTCTCTTTTGGTGGTATCTCCTCTTGAACATTTCAGAGAAATCCATCATAATGTATATAAGTATGTCATGTAATGCTTGGGGAAGAGATTTTAACTTCCAAGTCCTGCAGAAGCAATCACTCAAAGCTAAATGAGTAACCTTCATAACAATTATCCTTTTACTTACAGTTTCCACAAATGCCTGTCTTATTTCTGTATCTAGTTCTTCTGGCTTGACAGCTTGTAATGACAAGGATTTTTTTAAATAATTGTACTTGATGAAAACTTTTATGCACATATTAAATGTCTTTGCATATATTGCTTAGAAAATCCTGTTCTGCCAGGCCAGATACAATGCTCATGTTCTGTGTGTTTCCTTGGTGTGAAGTTGCCACCGTTTCCCAGATTTGCAAATGAAAAGTTTTGTAGGTAGTACTTAAAAGCTGCAGTAGCTTCTGTGGAAAAAATAAATAATGTGAATCTGGATCTGTGCAGTCTTAGCCAACAAACTAGAGAAGCTCTAAGCATTTCTCAGAAACCCCAGTTTTGATGTGCTTGTAAAATATGTATAGACATGTGAGAGCTTTATTACTGATTTTAATGCTCTGTAATGGGAAACGTTAAACTATGTGGTGGGATTTAAATGTTCTCTTTAATCCTCTTTCCTGCAGGGAATACCTGGCTCTGAATGTATATGTGGCCCTATGCTATTACAAACTGGATTACTATGATGTATCACAGGAAGTGCTAGCTGTTTATCTTCAGCAAGTTCCTGACAGCACCATTGCTCTTAACCTTAAGGCTTGTAACCATTTCCGACTTTACAATGGGAAGGCTGCTGAGGTATCTGTTGGACAGTCCCTCAGTTCACCTTTATTTTAGTTTAAAAATCCATATATGTTTCTTTTCCTCGTTATCTGTCTTAATCAGTAATGTTGATAATGACCTTTATCTTGTCATTGTGTCCTTCTTTTAGGAATGTCACCACTTTCAGTTTCCCTGGTATTAACCCATCTATCCACATGTGTGCACAGTGGTCTTTCCATTTTCCCAGTTCACTTTTGATCTTGTGTTTATACGTATTATCCAGTTTCTAAAATTATCCTATAGAAGTGAGAAAGCCAAATCTTCTAGTGGCCTAGCACTGATGGAGATGTATTTCTGTCAGCTTTGGAGCTCATTTGAAGCTTTACTTAGGCTTCTGTGCTTTTTTGGTTTTGTGGTAAAATTTTGGAATGTATGTAATTCCAGGCAGAGCTCAAGAACTTGACTGACAGTGCCTCATCATCTTTTGAGTTTGGCAAGGAGCTCATTAAACACAATCTGGTAAGTAATGCATTTCTGGGACTTAATATAAACAGCACTCATTTGTAGAGCTTTTCATGATGATTCATAAAATGGAATATTTTGGTAATTGCAGACCTAACTGAATTTTTGCTGCCATGCAAGTCCAGGAATCCTACCTGTATAATGAATGTGCCATCAAGTGTATTTATTTTTTCCCCTGGAATTTTTCCCTGACAGTGAGACTGTGTCAAGAAAAATAATAATGTTGTTGTTTGTGTAAGAATACCTTTGCAAGATATTTTATGGAGCCCACTCAATAAGGACACTGTAGAAACAAGTCAGAATGTATGACCCTGAACTCTTTATTTAGTACCACAACAACGTGAGTGGAATTAAGATAACTAGTGAAAATGGCCTTCATCCTAAAAGTACTAAACAAAGAGTTCTAGGAAAAAAGCTGCTGATAAAAGCCAAAATACTTGTGTGGTCTGCAGAAAAAGAGTCACTAATCACTAGTTAATTTTCCCTTCAGTGGTATTATTACTTTGCTGTACAGCTGGTAACAGCAGATTGCTCTTATTTAATGATGGGCAGTTGCTTGCTTTGTCGCTTTTCAAGAGCAGTCATAACAAGCTAAAGCTTCTTTCCCCAAAAGTTAAAACTGTTTTCAAACTGGACTTTTGTGAGTTAACGTTGTTTATTTTGTATGCTGGTCTTTTTGCCAGTGGTTTATTGAATAACTATGTTAGATTTTGTTGGAAGAACCATCATATGAAACTGAAGTATAATCAACTGCTCCTGACCATTTTAGCATCTTTCTAAATAAATGTAGAGTTGTTAGTCTCATTTTTTTCGTGTGAAAACATCATAAGCAAATAGTAATTTTGTATGTGTTCCCTTCACTCTTGTTTCAGACAATATTATTCTTTTAAATCTGTGATATATAATGTATCACTGTTTTGAGCTGCTAAAAGTTAAAATAAATTAATCTTTCCTGATGGATTAAACACTTTATATTCTTCAGAATAAAGATTGTCACACTTAGTAATTCTATAGCTATATTAAAGCAGGGATTATGCTAATCCCAGAGCCACTGACCTTTTCCTACTCTTAATATAGGAATTTAAGGATTAATTTCCTTGAATTAAGATATCATAGAAAAGATTTTGATACATGGTTATCAATCTGCTGTTTTTCTCTGCAGGTGGTTTTCCGAGGAGGAGAAGGGGCTTTGCAGGTCCTGCCTCCTTTGGTTGATGTTATTCCTGAGGCAAGGCTGAATCTTGTGATTTACTATCTCCGGCAAGGTAAATACACCTTCCTCTGGCTTTTTCATACCTTCAGGGATGACATTCATTCATTTTATCTCAACTGACTATTCAATGAAATGCTTTTTTTCTCTGCAGGAAAATGTAATGTATTTCATTTGCTGTTCCTCCAGAAAATAGTGAAGTAAGAGTTTCCATGGCTTGCAGAGAAGGGCTTTAGTTGTGTGCAGTCAAATAAACGTACTTTGGCAGAATATTGCAGGTTCTTTGGTTGAAGGAGATGGCTTTGGGGACAGTGGTGTTTAACTGTTTCTAATGAGATGACCTCTCTTATGCCTGAATGTGTGAGAATGGTAGGCATATGTCCTCTGAAGGCAAGGACAACTGTTTCTGTAAATATAGCACAAACAGGATATGAGCCTAAGTGACTGTGAACAAGGCTACAGTTTGTGAACAAGACACTGCGTTAAAAATCTACTTTACAACTCTTAAAAGGATGCAGGTATGTAGCCAGAATCAGTTGGAAAGGATTTTGTACTAGCATCTCTCCTTCATTTGCCAGCTTCTTCGAATTATATCTGAATTTTTCAAAGCCATTACTATTCTCCCATTGTGTTCTTTTATTCAACAATGGGTTGACTGGCTGTGTGACTCAAGCCAGGTCCAATTAGGTCATGTTGCTTAGTCCCAGCTTCCTCTGTTCTACCTTGTGTCCATTGCCTGTCGTCTCACTCTATGGAACCTGTCTCCATCTTCTCTGTATCTTCCTATCAGTAAGTTGTAGATAGCGATAAGATCTCCCTTGAGCCTTCTCTTCTGAAAGCTAAGGAAATGCAGTTCTCTCCGTCTCTCCTCAGCCCCCTTCTTGCCTTGGGAGTCCTTGGGTGGGCTCACTCCGGTATTTCATCATCTGTCTTAAATTGAGGGATCCCAAAACTGGACACCCTACTCCAGGTGCAATCTCACAAGGGTCAAATAGAGAAGCATTCCTTCCTTTGCCATGATGACTACATTCATGCTAATATGATCCAGTGTACAGTTGGCCTCCTTTGCTGCAAGACTGCACTGTCTGCCAGGTTGCCTTTTAGCCAGTCAGCTCCCCACCTGACTTGTTGTTCAGGCATGTTTCAAACCAAGCAAGATGCAGGACTTGCATTTTACCTCTGCTGAACTTTATGAGATTTCTTTCTTTCAGCCCATTTACTCAGCCTGCTGAGCTGCTTCTCAATAGCTGGGAGCTTTCTTCACAATCTTTTATCATTTGCAAACTTGCTGAGAGTACTCTATCTGGATCATTAATATAAATATAAATAAGACATTCAACGGTATCAATCCCTGGGGAATTTGATTAGTAATGAACCACCTGATAGATTTTGTTCAACTGATGACTGTCTTTTGATAGTCCAGACAGTTTTCCATCTCTTTATAGTCTTACTTAGCCAGTCCTATCTTTCAAGTCTGTATGAGAGACCATGTCAAAGACCTTGCTAAAGCCAAGGTATACAAGCATCCACTACTATCCCCTTATCCATACAACCAGTCATACATTGGGTTAGTCAGTACACTTTGGCATTGGTAAATCTATGCCTGCTGTTCCCAGCCACCTTTCTGTCCAGTATTGTTGCCAATTTCACTATAGGCAATATTGGTATTACTAGTAATTACCTTGCCCAATAATATTGTTAATAATAATACACATGTGTCAAATTAAGTTCTACTTACGCAGAAACAAAGTACATCTCGTGCATCACTTAAAAATCAGTCTTGTTTATTCATTTGCCATTAACCTTGCAGTAATTTTAATTAGTTAGGTTCTGCTCTTCACTTTGGTGTACAAATGACTTGCATACTGACAAAGAAGGTCAAGGGGAATTAGGATTAAAATCTCTTTCCTGGTTTGGCTAAATTTCTATTTTTAGCTCTTGGTAGGGTAGCAGCATCAATTAGGAATGTGAGAAATCATTACTTCTAATGACTACAGCTGTCTCTCTAAAACTTAAATGTCTCCGATAAAGGTAGGTTGGTGTTAATACATGCTCAGAACTGGAATGTCTGAAGCACAAACATGCATCCCATTTTTATCAGTTCTTCAGGGTAGTGACTTTCAGCAAGATTTGGGGCCTGTTGGTATCTGGTTATAATCTGCTCCCATGAGATTTGGTATAGGCTTCTTTTGGAGCCTGAAAAGCATAGCTCTGTGTTAATGGTCTCCACTGATGGAAATAAGGGCTGCTGTCATTTTTCTTGTTTGGTAGTGGTGGTGGTCTGAGCTAGCCAAAAATGTCAAAAAATCCTCCAAACCAACAATTTCTATTAAAAAAAAAGAAAAAAAGAAAAGGTAATGACTTTTGGCAAGTACCTTGTGCTGCCTTACTATGTGACTGCTCAAGGGAATGGGTAAGAAAGCAGAGGTGTTGAGTGGGAGACTGGCAGCTCCAATGTATATTGCCTTAAGTGGTTGAATGGATGGTATGTACTAGCAAAAAAGGTTTTGTTTGATAAGGTTTGTTTTTGTGGGCAGCTGGTATAATGCTGTATTAAAAAAATTTTACTAGTAAAAGACTGTCTTCACTAGGTTGTTTTACAAAGCCAACTGAAGTGCCAACATCTTTTTTTTTATTTAGGTAAGGTTTAGGATGTTTTCAGTTTATATAATGCTTGTGTAGGAAGGAAGTTGCTTATTGATTTCAAACTTCTCATTTAAACTTCTATACTAGTAGTGCTTTCCTTGTTAAAATTAGGATCAGGTAAGAGCTGCTAGACAGATATTGAAATATTGATAAGGAAGAGATGAAGTTTCCCTACAGCATCATGTTACCCTATCCTCCTTGAGGGGTAAATCAATATGAGAAAAGAAAATACAGGAAGATGATGGATTTATGATTTTGACCTTGTGCTGATGAGAAGGCAGCCACTAGGTTATGAACAAGGGGTCCAAATCATCTTTACTAGGAAAATTGTAATAACAAAGAAGCTATTACTCACTCCATGTTTGTTATTTAAGTTCTAGAAAACCATCACCATTGTGATAGAAATTCACAATGATTTATAGTTACCTTTCTCCTCCTGTCTAAATGGTTTATTTCTTAGTCTATGACTATTGGGGAATGTTGTAGAGGATAAGTGACTTGTTCTAATACAGTGTGCTATGGGTTGTCATGCATTCTAATGTCTGGCATTTCAGATGATGTGCAGGAGGCTTATAACCTGATTAAGGACCTGGAACCTACAGCTCCACAGGTAATTGGAAACTGATGTCATGGCACATAGATAGAGGTTATAAATTGATATGAAATCTGCCACATACAAAACTGGTATCCTGAGGACAGCTTGCCCCATTCCCACTCCTAAAACTTTTGTGTTTTCCATCCCTTCATGAACAATAGATTTAATATACATGCATAAAGTATTATATATGTGCATATATGAGTACTTAGCCTGTTTATTACTGTACTGCCTGGGCTCAGCTAAGAATATAGCTCTGTTCTGTTCAGCATTTTGGGGAGCTGACCATTAGTGCATAGATAAAAGCTCTCTTCCAACTACAGCTACTTGTCACTTCTGCCCTGATGATGATTACCATCCCTCAGATCTGCTAGCTCAGGTGCTCATATGGTTTGTCCTGAAGCCATTTCAATAAAAATTAGCTAGATTAGATTAAACAGTTTTAATAAATGGTATTCTCTAATCTCATCACACTTTGACTGCCATGAGTGAAAACTGCAGCGTCCCTTGGCTGCTACTGTAATTTTCTTTTGTGGTTGTTTCAGCAGCTTTAGTCTCTGATTTATTCGTCTTCGCAGTTTATTTTCCAAAGGTCACATAGCTGGGCATGAAAGGGACCTTTCATGAGTCTGTGTGAGGAATTATAGGGAGGGAGGGAAAAGGAAAACCTCAAGAACACAGATCTGGTGATTCTGTGCTGAGGAGGGTCTTCTGATGTTGCTTTACATTTCTTGCGTTCTTCAGTATGACAAGACTTACTTGAACAGTTTTCTGCAGCCAGTGGTCCTTTAGCCTCTGTTTTCCCCATATACATGTCTAATAATTCTTTATGACATTTTAAAACGAGAATCTTTGTGCTTCTTTTTCCATTTTTCACTTACACTTGCAAGGAACTCCCTGCTAAGACTTGCCAAACTACTTGTATAACCTCCTTGAGTACTTCGCAAATACTTCATCACGATGCCTGTAGGATAATAATTTGGCACCTGTAAGAAAGTTGGTGTGCTAAAATGATTACTTAGCATGCTGGCTAGTACTCTCAGATTGTTTGCTTGCAATCCATTGTTGGTCTGTGTAGATGTATCTTTCTCTTTTTCTGTGTTTACCTCTGTGACAAGGCTGTCCAGGTTTATCAGGAATACCTACAAAACAGATTTATAGCTATAACTCTTTAATTTTAAGATTTGGATAAGACAAAAGAGTCTGTTGCATGCTGAGAAAATCTTGCTCAGCAAGGATGTTAGTGGTTATGGTTAACCAATGTGCATATTTGAAATGGGTTCTGTGCTTTATTATAACAATATTGTACTTATTGGTCATATGATGGTGAAGAGGGCATGAAAGGATGTTATCGTGTTCCTTCTGGTGCATTGTCTTTGACCATAAGACTTATCAGAAAACATTGTACTCCTTTGCATCCCACATATTTGGTAGAAGTGACTACCTAGCAAGTAGAATGCATTTTGGGGGGCTAAATTAGTACTACTGTGATTAAGCATTATCACCGTAACCAGCTACCTACTAAACTGAGCTGGGATAGAGTTGAATTTATGAAGAAAATAATGTACACATAGGCTTTTATGTGTCTTGTAAAATCTTCACCTTATCTTCTCTGATCCTTTTTACAATTTTTTTTCAGGAGTACATCCTCAAAGGAGTTGTAAATGCAGCACTTGGACAAGAAGTTGGCTCAGTAAGCAAAGCCCATGACGTTCCTCAGCTTCTCCAACAACAGAATGTGAACACATCTGTAGGGACTAGAATGGAGTGAAAGAGAGAGTCATTTCTCATTTAGATTGCAGGATCTCTGAGTCTCTCAACCTTCTTCCACACAGTAGTCAGTCCAGAATGAGTGAAATGCAAATTTCCATTGCTGGTCTTGACAGTAAATCAAGCTGAATTTGGCTTCTCTATCCTGTTTCCAAAAAAACTTTTCTTTCTACAGTATTCTTGTGTATCTAGGCACATACAGTGGCACATTTACCTTTTCTGTTTTTCCTTCAGCCCTAGTTTGTCTGTTAGTTGCTCCCCATCTGTTCCTCAGAGCATATTTTCATTATGTATTGTAGCATCAACTCTGGAACTCATGTTGGGTTAATTTTTTTCCTCTTCCAGAGAGATCATCTGAAAATTGCTCAGCAGTTCTTCCAGTTGGTCGGGGAATCAGCCAGCGAATGTGGTATGTTTGAAATATTCTTTCTCCATTATGTAATCCATCTTAAAATATCCATACTATCATACTATCCTTTGTCCAACTCCTGACTGCTGGCAGGACTATTGCTAGGCATTTTGTTGTTATAGGATGAATATCAGGAAATTTAAAACAAATTTGGAAGTTTACATTAGAGGGCTTATTTGATTCCAGACCTTACTGTATGACTGGAAAAGAGGCTGTACTGCAAACTGTTAGTCTTTACTGAGAGATTCTGTGGCTTGCCTTTGACTAATAATCTCCATTATAGAAACAGAAGACAACAGCCTAATTAAGCAGATGAAGTGTGTGGCTGAAACTTCACAGGTACAGAAACTTCACAAATCTAGGTACAAATCTAGAACCACTAATGAAAGCCTATCAAGTACATAGAGTCCTAGCATGGAGTGTGCACTGAAACTGAGGGTGCTAAAAACGTAAGGAGGAATTTGGCTACAGACAAAAATGGGGGCTCTGGGACTAACTCCTTGCTTGAATGAAAAAAAACCTGATAAAACCAATAAAAAAATCAGCATATTTTCAATATTTACTTTTACTTATTCAATAATAGACCAAACAAAGACCTTATCTTCCCTTCCCTTTGCCAAAGTCAAAAATCCGAAATTAAAAAAGCTGGTAGGTATAACACAGAAATTGAGATGAAATAGGGCTTCCCAGTTTTCTTTTTAGGCATTGTCACTTAGTACTGTTTCTTTAGGTGGGTAACTTGTGCATGTTTATGGTGCAGACAGGTCATGGTCCTCAGAGACAGAATGCTGTCTCTGGTGTCCATGGTGACTAAAGAGAAGGAGCTCAAGAGAGCAGCAGCACTGATGAAACTTTCAGAAATACTGTTGAGTCATTCTATTCTGTTCCACATGCAGCAGAGAGCTTCATGTTGGAAGGCTGGAAGTGGTTCCATAGATGAGATTTCCCTAATTCATTCCTTTTGCATTGAGGCTATCCCTTTGGAGTTGGGATCCCAGATAACAGGAAGGAACAGCGTGAACTACAGTAGTGGAGAACTTGGTTAGAGGGAATATAGCTACCTGGGTTTGTGATACCAGTAAAATCACAAGGTGACTGATACAGTGGTGGTACATTCTTAATGCCTGTTATGGTCATGCACATGTGATGAATGACCATAGCATACATGGATAAAAATAATATGGAGATAGTCTGAGAAAATGTATCCTGAAAGCATTTGTAGTGAAGATATAGCCCAAAAGCAAAATTGAAATTGTTAGGAAGACAAAGGTCTGAATTTCACTGTGAAATAATTTTAAACCCATATGCAAAAGAAGGTGGAAAGGCTGAGACTTCAACCTTCCTATGGTTGAGGGGGGGGAAAAAATAATTAACAGTGAGTGAAATAATACTCTTTTAAAATATATGTTTAGATAGGCAACTCACCATACTGAGGCCAAATTATTCACCAGCCAGCCTGGATGGGAACAGTGACTGGCATATTAAAGAGGTTTAGATTTTATATAGAAAGATAATTAAATAATAGTTGGAGACTTCTGTTCTGCCTATATTGACCTAATAAATGCAATGACATGGCGTGATAAACAGCATGAACTTTTAAATGCTGTTTCCGTCTTTCTTAGAGAAGGCACAAGTGAACAGGTAACTCTGGAGCAATATAGAGATTACATAGAACCAGATTTGAAATTTTATGATGAAACTCCAATTCTGCTACAGTCATCTGAGTATAATCAAATTCTAAATCCATGTGTTAGCAAATACCTAAAAAAATTTCCACAGTACTAATTGCAAGAAAAGAACCTACATAATAACCTTTCTCATTTCTGACAAAAAATTAGAGTGAAATAGCAGTGAAAAGGATAAAATACACCTGATTTGAACACTTGAAAGAACCCTTTGTTTCTCTAAAGAAAGGGCTTGTATTCATAATTAATGAGCTATAGGATACAAATAATGACATGACTAGGTTTGCCAATGGTACAAAATTAGCCACAGTAGTAAAAAAGTAAAAGCTTCCACAATGATGAAAGATATGAGAGACTGTATAAGGCTGGGTAATAATATGCAAATTAAATTTAGCAAAATTATCAGAAAAGTTGAAGAGAATCTTAGGAATTGATGAGAAAAGAGAGAACAAACTAAAAATAGTTACTGCGTCATTGCATACGTATGTGATTCTTTTTCTTGAATACTGTTTGCAGTTCTGGTTCTTACATTTCTTAAAAAATTGTAGAACAAGAAAGGATACAATAAAGACAGGAAGGGTGATCAGAGAAAGGGAATAGCTTCTTGAACAAGGAGAGATTAAATAAAGGAGGATACATGGGCTGAAAAATGATGACTCAGTTTGATTATGTGCATCATAAATGACAAGGAAAAGGGGAATAGAGAAGAATTATTACTGTACAATACAAAAACCAAGGAGCATTGACATAAACTATCACACAAGACAAATAAAACAAACAGCATTAATTACTTTTTCACATAACACAACTTATTTGATGGAGAAACTTGTGAGAATCAGAAGGTAAAAAAAAATTGGTAGATTAAAAGTCCATTAGCTGTTTAACACAAATTTTTCAGTGACTAAGTCCTCAGTGCAGGTTGTTGGAAGCTAGGAGAAACTTCCAAGGAAGTAACATTACATGCCACAGTATGTATTATATGTGAAATCAGAACATATTCTTTCTATAGCTCTATATTCTTACTCAGCAAGCTTCTGAACTAGACAAACTTTGGATCCAATATGATAGTTTTTATGTTTTTAGCCCCCGTATTGTATACTTGTGATCATTTTTGATCTGCTCCCTTCGTTTTGCTGGATTTAGAATGGAGAACAGAATTCTTGCTGTTTGTATACTTGGGCTTTTCCAAAGCAGCCAGCCATGCTATTCAAGCATGTAAGTCTTGCTTCAGCACTTCCCACTCAGCCAGTCCTTGCAAGAAGCTGGTATCACTCAATTGTCTGTGAAGATATCAAGTTAACTGCTTTGCAGATTTATAATACAGAAGTAGGTTTGGGCTTGCTAGAGTGAGGAAATCCTTTGCTTGCAACTGGGCCTATGTCCTGGTTTTACCTGGGATAGAGTTAATTTTCTTCTTAGAGGCTGGTACAGTGCTGTGTTCTGAATTTAGTATGAAAATAACGATGATAACGCACCAGTGTTTTAGTTGTGCTTACCCGAAGTCAAGGGCTTTTCAGTTTCCCCTGCTCTGCCAGTGAGGAGCTGTACAAAAAGTTGGGAAGGAGCATGGCCAGGACAGCTGCTCTGAATGAGCTAAAGGGTTATTCCATACTGTAGAACATCATGCCCAGTACCTAAAGGGGGGGGAGTCGACTGTGAGGGGCTAATTGTGGCTCATGGGTGGGCTGGGCATTGGTAAATGGGTGGTGAGCAATTGTATTGTATATCACTTGTTTCTCTTGAGTTTTACTCTTCCCTCTCTCTCTCTTTTTTCCTCTCTCTCTTTTTCTCTCTCTCATTTTCATTACTACTATTATTAATAATAATATTATTTTATTTTATTTCTATTCAGTTATTAAACTGTTCTTATCTTGACCTGCAAGTTTTACTTTTTTTTTAGGGGGAGGGGATAGAACGAGTGGTACTTAGTTGCTAGCTGGTGTTAAACTACAACAGTCACAACAGTCTGATAATATGGATTATCAAAAAATAATGGATTAAAATGAATATGTGAAATATTTTTTCTGACTTTCTTTTGTTAACTGTAGAAATCTCATGACTGCATTAAGGAAAAAGCAGCAACACGCAGTTCAGGAAGTATAGTATCATTTATTTGTAAAGTCATTTGAAGTCATCAATTAAGGCCTTGGCTCTTTTTAATTAGATCTCTGACTTGAAGGTCCAAGGAACATAGAGCAAACTGAGTTAATGGGAAAGTCCGTTCCAAAAAATGTACAGATTTTGTCTCAAGATGGATGTTATAAACTTTAATGGGAGTAGGGTCACCCAAAACAAAAACTAAAAAAAGTCCAGGAAGCACTTACAATGTAGGAGTCAATATTCATCCTCTAGCAGCAATAAATAACACCCAGAACAGCAGCTTGGTTACTGGGATTTTTTTAAGCTTAATAGAAATTCTTAGTCCTAATGACATGAAATGGAACTGACATTATGAAGGAGGATATAACTAGATTTTTATAGTTAGTTCTCATGCTCTTCTACCTCAACTGAGAGGAAAATTAAACAGATCAGATTTTTAAGATAAGTTAAGGAGGAAATGGGACAAGAGGAACATCAGTGAAAGTAAATTAACATTAACGTTTCTTTTAAATGCAGTCCTTCTGGTGCTTAACGTAAGTGTTACAAACTACTCCAAAACCACTGCAAGCATAATGAAGAGCAGCACTCCTTTTGTTTTCAGTGGTCCTCCTTTAGGACCAAGTCAGGCATTTCTGATGCTGGGTGGGAGGAATGAAACATTTCTTCTGGACTTCATGTGGTCTTTTCTTTGAGGTACTCTTAGGTCACCCTGAGTAATTTTTTTAAATGACAAATTTTTCCTCTTCCTGCATGAGTCACATGCGGTGAATTAGAACTGTAAAACTCTAGTTTTTCAGTCTCCAGTAGTAGTCATTGCTGAGTTGTATAAGATACTCAGACGTTGTTTGTTTTTTCAACGAAATCTTTCACTGAAAGTATATGGAGGATGGTGTGCTGGGACAATAAAATTTTCTGCCAAAATGTGGACATAAGAATAAATACTAAAATTCAGAAACTCTCAAATCATATATGGGAAAATTGTGTTTCTAATATTTTGTCACTGTGATTAATTTTTACTAAAAATGTATCCTTAGTTTTAGGTCTTCTTTGCAAGTTTTGCATTTTTAAAATTTTGTTTAAAATAAATTGTTGTGAGTTTATGAACTTCAAAAATTGAATGTCAGAGAAAATGAGCATTTTCAAGTTATCTTCAGTGTCATTATTCAGTGTTTCTTCATTCTTTTTTTTTTGTTGCAAAACTGTTTCTGTTATTGTCCTGTAGAGGCATGATGAAAAGTACGCATGCATGTAAAAAAGGGCATATAAATATACAGGCCAGTTTTGCTCACAAGTGAACAATTCATAAATAACCAAATAATTTTCTGAATTTGGAGAACAGAGTGATGTGGTTCAGACATAGATAAGGATTGATTGTCTCTATATGGAAATGACAGGACATCCAAGCTCAGTATCTCCTAGTGCTAAAAGGTAAAAAATGAGACTATTTCGCTTTCCTTTGAAATGTATTTTGAGATCTTATATAGTGCTTTCCAGGAATAATTACTACCCTACCGTATTTAAAGGAGTTTTCCAGTGGAATGCTCTATTTTGTGTGGTGGTATGGAGTCAAAATATTAGTCTTCAGTTACATGAAATTTATATATATAGAAAAGTTATTTTTAGTGCAGATGTATTCATGGTAACTAACATCCAGTGGCAGATTATTTCAGGGATATTGGTAGCCTTAGGATCTTATCTCTCGACACCTTTCCAAACTGCACGTGCTCTCTAATGATCATTTCATGTAGTGAAATACTAGTGATTTGAAATCACTTGCAGTTAGGCCTTCCCAGCTGCACTTGGGTTCATCCATCTCTTCTAGTTGGGTCTAACAAAAATTAGTTCTAGTAAGCTTACTTCAGAATCTTTAAAACAGCTTTGAATTTTTTTCAGTAACACAGCTTACACTGTCAGAGTGGATGACAGCATTATACGGTTGCAGCAAAGTTATGATGACGTAGATAGCAGCAAAATTTAGTGACACTCATTTGAACTGATATGTCTAACTTATTTATGCCTTTACCACTTGTGAGCAATGTGGTAATCCCAAAAGCATGGGCATTAATTTTCATATTTTCTGGTATCACTGAGTATTCTTCCTGATCCAATATTAATTCTTTTTTATAATGATATTTTCAGTGTTATCAAGTTTACTGTCTTACTTGAACTAAAATTAAAATATGTGGAGCTTCTTTGTCCAGGATAACTGAAAAGCATAATTTTAAAGAAAGAAGGTTAATGAGGTTAGAATAACAAGCTCAGGTTTGTATGAAGTGTCAATTCCTAAGAGTAAGAATAATTCATGATAAAATTAAGCTACATAAATTGTGTCATGGAAAAGGCTTGTTACTTAAACCATTTGTCTCTGTAGAGTTTGCTGTTGATTAAAGTCTTGCAATAGTTATTGGATGCTGTAGAGAAAGATGACAAGATGAACTAATAGTTTTTTCTAACCTCTAGTATGGTCCTTTGCCTGAAAAGGCAAGCTACACTATTTTTAGAAACTAGCTGCTTTCATAGTTGCCAGCAATCTTGGCAGTGATTTCTATTACTGTGTGTTTTTTAATTCTACAAATTTGCATTTCTCTTTTGAATTTTAGATACCATTCCAGGGAGACAGTGCATGTCCTCCTGCTTCTTTCTTCTTAGACAGTTTCCTAATGTCCTAATTTACCTCAACTCAATCAAGGTTAGTATTATTATTTAGTATTGGTAGTACTGTAATGCATGGAATCACTACTTACAGACTGTACTGTGTGAGACACAATGGAAACATAAAAAGATGCAGAAACAACAATAAAAACAAAACACTGGAATGACAGTGGGACATAAGTGGTCAGTATGGCAAATGGATCAAAATGTAAAGAAGCAATTTAGAAAATAGCACCATGCAGCATGGTGGGCATGATGGTCTCATCCCATTTGCAATTTAACCATTATCAGGTTTTCTGGTGGCATCATAGAAGATGAGGAAGATAATTAAAGGAAGACAGTGAAAAAATTTGTGGATATTTATGGGGTGGGCAGCATGGAGGGAAAAAACCCAAATGTTTTCCTAAGACTTATCAAATGAGTGATGGAGATTATTGTCAATGGTTGGGAGACAACATTTTAATGAACAATAGTGTGTAAAGAACACAGGATATGAAGGACTCCGAAAATAATAACTCGGGGAACTGAGTTATAACTACAGGGAAACCAGTCACTGAAGGGCTAAAATAGGGAAATGTTACATTAAGAATGTTATTTTTGCAGAAGTTATTTGAGTGGTACCCTGCAGACAATGTTACTTTTTTCAAAGTAAGAGAAGTTTGAAGTCAATATGATGCAGCGTTATCAGATCACCAGTATTCAATGGATAAAATGGGTATAACTTACAGATACACAGTTAGATGTGAGTAAAGAGGGGGCTGGAGTGTGATTATGGGTTAAATGATTGTGGTCTTGTTCCAGTGATTTGAAACTGGAGTTGTAACAAGAAATTATTTGGGAGATACACGAGATGAGCAGAATGACAATATTCTAAGGAGGGTGAGATCTAAAGAAAAACATGGTTGTAATGGTGCCAAAAGCAGTTGATGAGTGAAAAAATGATGAAGGTGTAGTTTTTAAACTTTGTCTGGAAATAGACCTTTGAGGAAATCCCAGTGGCTCTAGCCACTAGCAGGGCTCCAGTGTAGTGGAATGAAGAGACATACCACTACCACCCCAAAGTGGAGTATGTGTGTAATTAAGAAAAGGAAACTAAGGGTGAGAATTTTTTTGCCTAACTTGAGCCATCTAAAAGTCATATTTCTAGTTAGAACTTGTCATCTGGTCTCAGTTTACAGACAGTGGGTATAGAATTTCCAGAAAATTCATCCTGTGTATTTCTCACATTTACAGTGCAGTGAATCAACCCACAGATATTCTCGGCTCTTTCCATTTCCATTAAAAGGTTCTTAAAAAGGTAGTTCTAACCTGAAAAGGTCAAAGTTAAATGTGATTACAAACCACCTCCAAGATATATGGGACAAAAGTTTACTCCCTCCTACAACTTTTCTTGCACGGTCGTTTTGAAGTAATTGATCATTCTCATAATTTTTTAGCTGAGACTAAGCATGCTCAGATTTATTTAAGTCATTTCCCTCTCTTCAGCTCACAGGGATGCAAGTATTTCTTCCTTTACCATGTTACAGGCAAGGTGTAGGTGGCTTTACAGTTACCTTTTGTGTTTCATTCACAGGAATAAACTTCAGTAGAATCTCTGCAGCTCTTAAAGCAGAGCATGCACTCTGTGAAGATTATTTGTGTGATGTTCTCTCCAGAAACACCGTGTTCATCCATGATCAGTTAAAACTGCTTTAGGCATGAGAATTCTGAGAGGACACCTTATTATAAATACATTGCTAGCTGCCCCAAGGGTGACATTATAACACTGTCAGAGATCAACTGAGAAAACAACCTGATTCAGGCTCAGCTGAGTTGTGGCCACAATGGGAATTCTTCATTGCTCAGCTGGGTATCTGAGCATCTCATTGAAATGGACATCACTCAGAGGACAGTTAGTTTTATGAAAAGATTAAAGACCTCTAAAAAGACCACGAAAGAGTGAAGTCCAGTACATATAATGTGGTTTGAAAAAAAGAAAAAAAAACAACAAATAACCCTGAAACATCTGGCTGCTGTGAATGTGTTGCACTATCATCAGCATTGTTCATTTCTACTGTTTTTGGTTTTGCAGTAGGTGTGTTCTCTAGCACTTATACAGCCTGGACAGAATAACAGATTTTCTGAGTTTGGTTGCTGACAGAGTTTCTTTTCCATTTTAATTTAAAAATACAATGGAAACTATTTAAACAGAAGAAACGATTCACACAGTAAAACTGCATCTGGCTCACCAGCTTTGCTTAACCTGGGACTTGTGCTGACTCACTTCAAACTGCTATTGAGAAAGAATACAGTAAAGTGTTGTAATCTCATATGGTGGAACCCATTAGTTCACCTTAAGGGTACTGCAATGTTTTCACAAACTGAGCTTAAGATTCACCCAATTGGTTCATCCTCATGCTCTCACACAGTTTTTATAATTGCCTGCTTGTAGACCCTAACATAGACTAGTTGGGAGAAACCTAGACATTTGGCAAATGGTGGCAGTCCCCCACCTTTCCTTTCAAGGCACTAGCTTGATGTATGTAGGTGGACTGAATCAGCGCCCTTTGTTGACTGCCTGTGACAGGGAAGGGAAGAGGCTCCTCAGTGTCCCTACATCATGAAATAAGACACCACTGGGAAAGGGATTTGCCCCTTGCTTCCCATATCTTTTGTACAGTCCCAACTATGCTTTTTACCTCCTCCTCAGTCTTTAATGAAGAAACAAAACAAAAATTTGATCTTCATACACAAGTTCTGTTTCCTTTATAAATATTATATAAGAAAAACATTTCTTCTTCCCTACACTTTGCTGTGAAGCACCCAGGAAGGCTTTTCTTACAGTAACTACAGTGGATACACCACCCTCCTTTTTTCCCATGCTCTTTCATAAGCAGTGCACAACTAGTGGACAGGGATCATCAATCCCCATCCATGCTTGTACCTGTGATGTGTTCTATCTTATCTCTACCATTTCTGCTGATGCAGCAGTGTAGGACAGTGCTGAACGTAGAACATATCTGACTTTTGGACATCTGAATTATACTTCACTCTGGACATCTGACCATGATAAAATCTTAGTTCTTCAGGTCAAACCCAAACATCAGGCTAGATGTTTGGTACCTGTACCTAGAGCTGCATTTTCTGCTTTGACCCATGTAGCTGTTCAGCAAGATACAGCTAGATCAACCTGATGTGTCCTAAACCAGATGTGTCATGCCTAGTATTATGGGAGAGAAAAACTTTTTGTTGCACTTCAACTAGAGAGAAGGGTACCTGTAAGCAAGACTTGTAAAGGAAGTCCTACTACATGGTATGCTGCCTGCTGTAGCCCAGTACTGTGCTCCACCTCCATCATGCGATCCAGTGTGTCAAGACTAGCATCTGTCACATAACCAGATCCACAGGATCTCTTGATGAACCTTGACAAGTCTTGGAAAAACAAAAGTGTTCATCTCCTTAAAGACTTCAGGGAGTCAACTGCCTATTTACCCACCCTAGTGGTGAAATAAGTGCTTGGGAGGTGAAAGAGACCATGGCAGCACAGCATGTCTTCACATGCCCCAAGTGAAAATTATACCCACAAAGGCTGCCACTGCAATTTTGAACTTGGAACGTTTTCCAGATCTCTCATAGTTAATATTGTGGAATGTTTCAGCTGTGTTTGTAGTCATGAATGTAGGATGGAAAGCTAGTCCATAATTTTTCTGCCCAGTGTTTATAAATACCGTATGTTCCTAATGTGGGTTTTTCTTTTTCCTTCCCGTTGTCTTTATATGGTCTGACTCAGACTGGGGGTGAGAGGTGTATTTTTAATGTTATTACATCATGGGAGGAGGAGTTTTTAGTTTTATTTATTTGAGCTTTATCCACATGTCTTATTTTTCAGAGTTACTTCTACAATGATGACACTTTTAACTTCAACTATGCTCAAGCCAAAGCTGCAACGGGCAATTTTAAAGAGGCTGAAGAGGTATGTATTTACTTTCTTTAAAAACACAGCAATGGAAACATTTCCCCCCTGCTCCACTCTTTCGTTCCCTTTCTCCCTCCAGATCTTCATGTTGGTTGAAAATAAGCAGGTTGTGTGGAATATCTCCTTCCCCTTCTTAGAGGAACTGAAACTCTCAGTGAATACTATTCAGAAAAGATTATCTTGCTAATCTTGTAATGTGAGGTATATGGGGAGTCATGCTGCTTGTGATGCATCACAAGCGTGCTTGCAGCTACCTCTAGTTGATCAAAGAATGGCCTCTTAATCAGATTTCCTCTGCTTTGTCTGGGATCCCAGGCACTCTTTGTTCAGACTGATTAGGGCATGCTGAATAAAAGACAGTGAATAGTTAAAAGCTTTTAGGTGTCCCTAGAAATTTTTGTTTAAAAAAAAATCTTCCTCTGGGAGATGTGGGAGGAAAAGAGGAAGTGCTCACTATCTTATTCAGCAGCATCCACATGCAGCTGGAAGAGATTAACTTCTACACCCAGTACTTTTTTATGTCTGTGCAGCAGAAACTTAATTACAACTAAAATATGCAAAAGCAAATAGTTATTATGAAGATGGAAGCAACATTTTCCACAAGACCAGAAAGAAGACAAGCCACAAAAAAAAATCCCTACCACGTAGTCTAAAGTGAATCATATAGGTTTGGTTGGTTTGGGAGTTATGTTTTTGTTCTGTTTTTCCTGTCTCTCTAACTTTTTAACTCTTCAGGTTTGTCAATAACAGAACCTTCCTGGTTTTACAGTTTGTCTCCCCCCTGTCCTGACCCCCTCACCCAGCACCCTTACCCCTTAATTTCTGTGACCTGAAATTTCATCTGTCTTTAAGAAAAATATTCCAAGACTGTCAGGGAAATGGATAGATATTTCAATTCACCAAGCTTTCAATTCACTTAGCTTAATGAAAATCTTTCAAAACTGTGCTAGTGGGCTATCCTGATTCCTGAGACTTCATAAAAATGATAGTTCTGTAAGTAAGTTTTAGTAGCAGCCAGGCAACAAAGGAACACAAAAGTGTAGCTGCTGTTAATATACATTTTTTCTCTTACGTTTTTTAGAAGTTGTTCTATAGAAACTTGTGTTATATAGCTGATGCATTTAAATAACAGAATTATGTAGTTAAATTGATTCATCTGGCCTCATGTCTGATCTCTGGTTGTGATGACACTTCCGCATAAAGATCAGCCTTCCCCAGTGTCTCATAAACTTGTAAAACGTCTCCACACATAGCACTTATTAAGTTATATAAAAGCATACCTCCCTGGACATAATGAAATAAAACCTGTGATAAAGTGCTACTCACAGTGATAATACTGCTTTTTTAAAATTTTTTCCCTATTACTCCTTCTCCCTCCCCCCAAAATTAGGGGTTCAGCAATGTTTAAGCAATACAAATGTTAGTAATTTGTGGAACTCACTGTTCCAGTACATACATGTGCTCCTATAAAGGTATTTTGAGTTTTTGCAGTAGCATCCAGTATAGTTACAAATATACTAGAGAGACACATAAATAGCTTATTTTATCTGTGAGCAAAGCCAGAGTACATTTTAAAATGTATAACTTCCCACACACACATCCTTTCAGATGTAGAATGTAATAAACCTGTATTTGTACGGTAAGTTACAAAAGATGAATGCTTTGCCTCAGAACCTTACTGAAACCAAAATGGTTAGAAATGGCTTGTTGCTGACCTGGAATGATCTCTGACGTGTGGGGAGGAAAGGCTCATCTATATGTGAAACTTCTGGTATTTCAAGAAGATGCTAATGTAATTGCTTGCATCTCTTTCTAAACAAACACATTCCAAATAGCTTTTCCCACAGGCCCAGTGTTCCTTTGTGCTGTTTGTGTTGCATGGCCGCCCACTGGCACTTGTTCAGAGCAGGCCGCACCCTCTGCTCAGCTTGGCACTCTGAAACTGCACAAGTCCCTTGACAAGCGGGGCACTGTGTGAATCCTCCACCTACCCCACACAGAGCAGGGATGTCCCTACGCTGCACTTAAGCCACGAAGAATTTGTGTGGCTTAAGCCTTAGCTGCGTGTTGAAACGAGGTAGGTTTGCCTTCTGTTTGTTTAAAAGTACATGCATGTATAATCTTCCATTTTCCTTCTTCCTGCAGGTGTTCCTTTTGATCCAGAGTGAGAAGATAAAGAGTGATTTTATTTACCTTAGCTGGCTAGCTCGCTGCTGTGAGTCACTTTACTCTCAACATTGCAGAATACAGATCCTCCTCTATTGCGTCAGTCCTGGCAATCCACTTTCCTAATTGAATTTAATGTTGTAGGTGGATTCTGGACTATGAAAGTGAAAAGCTGATTGCACTAGTTATAGTGTGGGTGGTTATTGCACGTTCGTACATCTGGCTTTTATAAGCAATTACTGCTTCAGTGCAATGCTCTTATAGTACTGTCAGTGCAGCTTTGTCCTGACCAGTGACCCTCTTTCTTCTCAATTGTCTACTCAATTGCTTGACTGAAGGCTTTCTGTCTTTAAAGACTGAGTTACAGCTCTAAAATGTTCAGAGTAAAACACGAAATAGAAGCATTCATACTGGGTCAGGCCCAAGGGTTGTCTGCCTCCAAGGGTGGCCAACGTCAGATGTCTAGGGAAGAGAAGAATCAGGCAAGCATATGTGGTATTTTGATTCCTACCATATTACTCCACATGTTGTCCAAACTCCTGTGCCCGAGGGATATCCTTTATAATCTCCAGCATGTTTTTTATTTCACAAACCTCCTCTATTCTTTCCTGGAACACTGGAAAATTTTGCTGTGTTTATTATTCTATAGCAAATCTTATTTACTTTTTCTGAACCAGTTTTTAAAACATTGCAGAGTACACCTCAGTACGGAAACAGCTACAGTGCCACATACAAAATAATATAGAGGACTTTTCTAATGACTCAGGTCTGAGACTCCCTAGGCTAATTTGTTTTCCTTACAGTACCTCAATACAAAAATGTTCCATATCAAACAATTTTCAGTAGTTATACCTGAAATATAAATATGTAGGTTTTGGGACATTATGCCATACTGCAGATGTAGTAAACATCTCTTAACATGATCTTTCATGGAATATACTGAGTTGAAAGGGACCACAAGCATCATTGAGTCCAGCTCTTAGCCCTGCACAAGACCATCCCCAAGTCACACCATGTGCCTGAGAGTATTGCCCAAACACTTCTTGAATGCATTGTCTTGTATAAAAAATTTCTATAATGCTTTCTATTCTGTTCCTTAATCACACCTGAAATCATGAGAGTTGTTCTTATTGCTGTGAAATATAAATTGAGATGTAAACACCATAATATTCCTCTTGACATTGACGTTCTCTGATGAATTGGCTGTTATCACTAGTAAGGCAGAAGATAAGGACAAGTTTTCCTTCCCAGGCTCATGCTCATGCTGAGGCATGCATTTACATTAAGCAAAGAAATACAGGAACATCTATTCCACCTGCCATTGAGTATTGTGTGTGGCATATTCTTTTCACAATTTCAGCTTTTTCTTCTTATTGCAGATATTATGAATAAGAAACCACAGGCGGCCTGGAAGCTCTATCTGAAGATGGAAACCTCAGGGGACTCCTTTAACCTGTTGCAGCTCATTGCAAATGATTGCTACAAAGTGAGTTTTCTCTTCAGAGCTTGGTATATGACATGTTAATTCGATGATTGTCCCAATAGTCATTTTTTGGATACTTTTTATCATTGTCATCACTTCCTTTTATAACAGCAAGATGTCTAATAATGTGGATGAGTTGGCAAGGGTTAGTCAATATTTTAACCTACAGGCCTGCTTGATAGACAACCCATTGATTAAAACGTTGGTAAATTACTGCATGCTTGAGCTATCAATAATAACAGTTTATTCTCCTCCTAGAGATTCATTATGGGTGGAATTGACAAAAAACTTTTAATGAAAAAAAACTAGCATAGATTTGGCAAGGAGCCTCATGCTGCTTTTTTTTCCTGGGACAGCATTATGTTTTCCTTAAAGTTTGTAATGGCAATGAGAGATACTCCTTGTGATCTCAAAAGCATTATTCTAAAACTGAGAGAATTATCTCTTGCACATCTTTCAAGTACTCAGTCCACCATCTCACCCTAGAAGTCTTGTTGCTCAGGCAAGTGACTATGCCTCTGGTGTTTCCCGTAGCTGCAATTTGTGAAAGCAAGTTGGAAAACAGACATGTAAAAACTCTCTCCAGACCATTTAAAGTCTTACTTAAATCAGTTGATTGCTTTGTCTAAATTCTTCTGAAAAGCTTAGTGTACTCAAGAGGAGAAGCAGCTCCACATTTTGGATTCATCTAGAGCTCTGAAAAACTGCACTTAAAGGGCTAAATTTTTCAGCCTAATTATGTGTCTACATAAATGCTCCAAAGGCCAAGGAATTTAATTTCAAGAATTGTTACTATGGTGTTAAATGTCTTTCTACACTAGCAGCTGCTTGTACCTCTTCCACTAAATAGCAAGGTCCATGTTGAGTTTATGTGGCATTTTTCAGTTGTTTCTGAAACATTACATTATATTAGAGGCCCACAGACAGCACCAGAAATGTAACTTAAGAAGGCAGTTGCACTAGGCTTTGCTCAACAGAAAGCAGAATGAGCATGGATAAAGCAAGGTCAACAGTGTCCTTAGACTAGGTGTAGCCGAATGCCCCATTGCTGTGCTGACAGAAGTTGTTCAGTGAGGAAGCTAGGATTTTTGGCTAATTTCTTGATGCTTTTTATGCAATTGCCCATCTTGTCCATATAGGGAACAGCACATGACTTGGGGTGAAGCATTTACTACTTTAATATCAGATAGAAGAAGGACATTAAACCTATATCTGCTTAGTGGAACTAGATCAGATACTAATTTGGATAGATCAGTAACAATTTTTAGCTGACACATCTGATACCGTTTATTTTTGCTATCTTTATTCCCATACATTTAAGTGCTTTCCAGTCACCAGTGATTCAAATCAACTTTTATGTGAAGAAAAGAGAATTTGTACTCATTCTGTAGTACCAGTGTTTCTCTGACTAAAGTTTCCCAATGTAACTCCCTCAGCCTACCCTTTTTTCTCTGCAGAGGCTTCTAGCTACCAAAGGATGGGAGGTTATGCTCAGTCTACCTTCTGTGCTCTCTCATGGGAAGATGCCACTCACAAACAACATTGCTATTCAGGCTTGCCCAAGTGGAGAACACTCACAGTCATAGATGCAGCCTACGAGCTATGCTGACTTCAAAATCCACAGTTAATATGGTCACTCCTTTTGCACTGAGTGTTGCCAAGCAACTTGCTTCTGGTTCCCAAACACAAGTAGAGAACCTAAAGCAGAAAAGTTAGAGTACACACTGGATTTTCCTATGCTCAGAAAAATTTTGGATTATGGAGTCACTGAATCTTCTTTTGTACTGTACTGTAACAGTGAAAAAAACATTTTAACTCCTAAGTTAAACCCACAAGACATACAAATATGTGACCATCTCTACATGTGGAAATATGATTCTATTTTCAAATGTTTGGACTAGTTTGAGGTTGATATTTGGTCAAGGGCTTTGGTATAATTGGTACGACACTAGATAAGGGCACCTCAAAAAAGATGTTATAATACCTCCTCTATAAAACTGAAATGTCCCTGTTCTGTGTCACTTGATGCCTGCAGAAAAACAGGAAAATGCACGTAGCTTCTATGACTTTCTTCTCATTTCAGAAAACTGAGCTCAATGTTTTTAATCTCCTTCTGAAAGATGATCATACAGTCAGGAATAATGTTCACTTTCTTTGCAGATGGGTCAGTTTTACTATTCAGCCAAAGCGTTTGATGTTCTGGAGAGACTGGACAATAATCCTGAATACTGGGAAGGCAAGAGAGGTGCTTGTGTGGGTGTATTTCAAATGATCTTAGCTGGCCGAGAAGCAAAGTGAGTATTCTGTGTTGTATTTGAATTTATTTTGCTCTTTTCCTGTTTTCAGTTAGCTGTAAGATAGAATCATAATTTTAGCTTTAGGACTCCATATCTTTTTCCAATTCATTATTGACCTTTCAGAGAATAGACACTCTGGCCAGTGGTTCCATATGCAGTTTTCAATTTGAAGTATATCTTCCACAACAGTATATGGTGAAGAATAACTTATCAGCGAATGCTATGAACTGTAAGACACCAAAATACATTAGTCATCATACTACAAGAAAAGTTAGGCTATAAATGTAGTAGTATGTTCATGAGCTGGGGGAAAGCAACTTTACTTCATATCGATGGCATAAGAATGAAAACTGTCACATGACATTTTAGGGTTCATAGAATAGAACTAAGGAAATATTTATTCAACACCGTAAGAAGGACACGATTTCTCCAAACAATGAGTAGATGAGACTGTTTTCACTGAAATTTGCTTTCTGAAGACACTGTCCATGTGAGACAAACATACATACTTGATGAAAGATTAAAGGAAATCATCCATGTTACTGATAATTTTGGTTTCGGCCCATTTCACTGGATGGGAGAATGAGAGAGAGTAGTGAGGCTGTATTTAAGAACTGTTCCCTTGTGAATATTCTGTGGTGATGCCAGATGGCCATCGTCCATCAGGCCAAAGTTGCTGTTTCCTATGTGACTGACAGGTATGTATCTTGGCTTCTACACCTTCCTTCCATTCACTTCTCTGCTGGAATAATCTCACTAACTATAGCACCTTACAAGTGTCCTTTTAGCAATCACTGCAGCAGATGCAGTAAAATACATATAGCTTCTCTGTTTTTCAAAATATGCAAACAAGTTCTTACTGCAAACTAGCTGGCTAACTGCAGCGGAATACTGGTTTATCCTATTGGTAATGTTCATTTCCCTGTTATTTGTGTTTACGTGTAAGGTGCTTTGACAGTATTAAGCTAGATGTTGCCATATTAAAGACTAGCAAATAACATTAAAGATTAAAAAAAAAAGTTTGCTTTGTTCTATTTTGCAGAGTAAAGATTTATATATAAATACACACACACATGCACACACTAAGCTCTAAACTGATTACATTTTGCTGGAGTTTTTTTACTTTTAATTTCTATACAATTGTGTAGAAGACTTTTTTGTTTGGTTGTTTTTTGTCCCTGGGATCTCATCAACTGTGCATTTTAACCTTTTTCTGCTCTGCAGATGAACGGACCTCTCTATCTAGGAGGTCCATGTTTTGCAAAATAGTTTGATTGTTTATTGTCATTTATTGTATCAGTTGAGTCTTAGCCTCATTTAAATCTTTGTTTCCACCTTTGTAGAGAGACTCTGCGGGAAGTACTGCATCTTCTGAAGAGCAATGGTAATTCTCAAGTAGAATATATTGTCCGCATCATGAAAAAGTGGGCCAAGGAGAACCGAGTCCCTGTTTAAGTCAGTACCACAAAATGAACTGGGTCAGTTGCTACTGTATGTCTGGCTGCAAGATGTGGGTTTTGGTTTCTCCTGTGCATTCTGACTATCTCCTTCCTTGCAGGACTTTAGACATTCAAGCAGGTTGACCCAGCTGAGGAAGAGTGTACTGCAGTGAGATTGCAAAACATTCAGCAAGTTAATTAAAACATTTTATATCTTGCACCACTCTCTATTCCTCAATGTTTCTTTTTTTCAGTAGTAATTTTAACTGTCCACAAGTAAAGTGCTCCTCAAATATTGCCCAGATTTCTCCCCAAGAGTTACTGAACTGCTTTGTGGTTTGTTTTTTTCCAGCAAGCCTTCTGGCCTCTGGAGAAGAATTATTTGTTACATGACCGAGACAAGCCTTCTTCAGCAAGTGATAGAATATGGCAAATAAGAGATGGTAATGGTGATGACCAAAAGGCTACTAGGGTATCAGATAATACAGAAGACTTACAGAATCATACAGTCATAGAACGGCTTGGGTTGAAAGAGACCTTAAAGATCATCTGGTTCCAACCCACCTGCCATGGGCAGGGACACCTTCCATTAGACCAGGTTGCTCAGAGATCCATCCAACCTGGCCTTAAACACTAACAGGGTTGAGGCAACTTCTCTAGGCAACTTGTTCCAGTGCCTCACCACCCTCACAGTAAAGAATTTCTTCCTAATATCTAAGTTAAACCTGCTCTCTTTCAGTTTGAAGCCATTTGCCCTTGTTCTGTCACTACATGTCTCTCTCCATCTTTCTTGTAGGACTTCTATATGTTACCTCTCTGGGCTAAAATACAAATCATATTCTGAGCACTAGCCTTTTCTGGATAAATTTCAGTAACTAATATCTTAATTTCTTTTTTGTTGTTGTTTTTGTCTAAGGCTTGTTTTCTCTCCTATCATCTTTTTCAAAGCATGGAGATTTATTGGTCTGTATTGTTCAATCTTATTTTGAAGTTTAACACTCAAAACATTCATGTTAATGTAGTGCACATGAGAAATCTATTTAGTTTAGCAATCTGGTGGATAAAAAGATGTTCTGAATCATTTTCTTCAGCATTTACCACTGTCATGAGCAACCATATTCATTATACTTTTGGATTTATTAGACTCTTCTGCTTTTTAAGGAGAACAGCTCAGGGAATACGTAATTCTAAAAAAAGCAAGAGCTGTAACATAAAAATGTGTTATATATTTGGTAGTTGTGATGGCTTTGGTCAGTTACCAGAGGACTGAGACTCTAAACAGGGCACTCCCCTTTTGCATTAAGCTCTCCCCATCCCCCTCCAATAATGAAGGGACAATACGAAGGCATATAAGTAAAAAAATAACAAATTACTAAAGAAAATAGCAGTCACTACAATTATACAAATGAAAACAGTTTAAGCCAGCAAAGGGGAGAGGGGTTTCCATGCTGGACCATGCGGCTCGGTAGAACAAAGAAAAACAATATGGCAAACAAGTTTCTGCGATCTAATGCCCTCCCCCAGCCAGAAAACAACAGAGAACAGAGGCAAAGCAAAACCTGGAAAACTATTTTGTCCAAAAGGAGGTGTGCTGCTGAAAACACTGACTCAGCAGTGGCAGCAAAGTGGTGACTCCAGGCTTACGGCAGCTGGGACTTGGGGTGGTTGTTGCCACCAAGCTCTCCCGATCCAGTCCAGGCCGTGGCAGCCCTGGCAGTGACCGTCACTAGGCTTCAGAAAAACAGCTGCCCCTCCCTCCAGCGGCAGGGGAAGAGCATGCGCCCTTGCCCTTCCAGTCCATGGCTTTTTTCCCTGTCAAGCCCATGCCCCCCATGATGATGTGACAGTGTCAATATTCATCTCTAAAGCTCCACCCACTGGCTTTGTAACCGTAACATTATCCACCCCTTACTCTGTACTATCCACATTATGCCCAGATATACACCTTTCAACTATATACATACATCTCTCTCTATATATATGCATAAATAATTATACAAACAATGGTATTATTTCAGTGATCACCGACCATTCCCCCAAGATGTTTTGTTGAGTTCATTTAGTCCATGGGATGTATGGTATACAATGGCAGTATCATTCAGCAACCAGTATTATACATACAATTCAATATGAGAGATGGTTTTCACCCAAAATCAGGTCCCTTTGAGGTACACGTGGTGTTCCCCTGTCCCTCTGCATTAGTCAGCAAGTACACCCAGGTCCTTGAGCAAAAACAATCCCATGGATGGGCTTGTTCTTTCTTGAGGTAGGAGTAATCCAAACTATCTTTCATATTTCTCATATGCACCACAGGGACTTCATCTACGGTACACAAGGGTTCTGATTGGGCAGGGCCAGCTTGATTGGTAGAGCCTCTAGTGTTGACTAACTAGGTGGCCTTTGCTAAATATAGATCCAAATGTTTGAAGGTCCCACCACCCGTTGCCTTCAATGTGGTTTTTAACAGTCCATTGCACCATTCAGTTTTCCCAGAGGCTGGTGCTTGATAGGGAATATGATACACCCACTCAATACCATGCTCTCTGGCCCAGGTGTCTATGATGCTATTCTTGAAATGTGTCCCACTGTCCGACTCAATTCTTTCTGGGGTGCCATGTCACCACAGGACTTGTTTTTCAAGGCCCAAGATGGTGTTCTGGGCAGAGGCATGGGGTACATCTCTAGCCATCCAGTGGCTGTTTCCACCATTGTAAGCATGTAGCGCTTGCCTCCACGTGTTTGTGGGAGTGTGATGTAATTGATCTGCCAGGCCTCCCAATATTTATATTTCAACCATCGCCCCCCATACCACAAGGGCTTTACTCTCTTGGCCTACTTGATTGCAGCACATTTCACAGTTATGGATAACCTGGGAGATAGTGTCCATGGTTAAATCCACCCCTCGATCATGAGCCCATCTGTATGTTGCATCTCTTTCCTGATGACCTGAGGCATCATGGGCCCACCGAACCACAAATAATTCACCCTTATGTTACCAGTCCAGATGTACCTGAGACACTTCAATCTTTAACCTGTTTGTTGTTACGATGCTCCTTGTTGGCCTGACTCTGGAGTACATGTGCATCTACATGATGAACTTTCATGGTCAACTTCTCCACTCGGGGAAGTGATGTCTTGCCACACTTCAGCAGCCCAGATGGGTTTCCCTTTGTGCTGCCAATTGGCCTTTTTCCATCAAACCAGCCACCCCCACAGAGCACTTACTGACATCCACAAGTCAGTGTAGAGGTAGAGTGTTGGCCACTTCTCTCTATTTCAGTAACATCTAAAGCCAGCTGGACAGCTTTGAGCTCTGCAGCTGGGTCTGATTTGAATCACCTTGTCCCTTGGTAGCTTCTGCAACTTTCCACATAGGGCTCCATATGCCAGCTTTCCATTTTCAGTTTGTCCCTACAGTATGATAGGAACCATCAGCAAAGAGAGCTTATAGCTTTTCATTTTCTGATAGCTGATTATCTGGTGAGGCCTCCTCAGCACTGGTCACCTGCTCCTCTTCCTGATAGTCTACAATTCTCACCTTAAGGCCAGTTCATGATGATCTCCAAGATCTCTTGGTGATTAGATTTCCTATCCGTGCTCGCTGTATGATGAGAGTGATCCATTTAATTCATACAGCATCAGTGGTATGTGTGGAAGGAATTTTTCCTTTGAAATCCCCCTCAGCAGTGGCAGTTGGGGCGCCAGGAGGAGCTGTGCTTCAGTGCCAATCACTTCTGAGGCAGCTCAAACCCCTTCATAAGCTGCCAGTATCTCTTTTTCAGTTGGAGTATAACAGGCCTCAGATTCTTTGTATCCCTGACTCCACAACCCCAGAAGTTTTCCTTCCCAGGCAGTTTTTGCCAGCGGCTCCAGAAAGGACCCTTCTCCCCGGCTGCAGTGTAGAGCACATTTTTTACAGGGCCTCACTTGAAATTGTTCTTCCATGTCACAAGGCAGAGAGGGCTTACAATCTGACTGTACTCTGGGACATGCATTCCCCAAAAGCCCACAGCACCTAAGAAAGCCTGTGTTTCCTTCTTGCTGGTTGGTGGGGACATAGCTGCTATTTTGTTAATCACCTCTGTTGGAATGTGGCAATGTCCATCTTGCCACTTTACTCCTAGGAACTGAACTTCCTGGGCAGGTCCTTTGGCCTTATTTTGTTTAATGGCAAAACCAACTTTCAGGAGAATCTGGATTATCTTCTCTCCTTTCTTAAAAACGTTGTCTGCCATGTTTTCCCATACAGTGATGTCATTGACGAACTGTAAGTGTTGTGGAGCCTCACCCTTTTCCAGTGCACTCTGGACCAGCCCATGGCAAATGGGCTGTGTTTCCACCCCTGGGGCAGTCAGTTCCAAGTATATGAATATTCATTGCTGAAGCTCCACCCCCTGGCTTTGTAACCAGAACCATGTAGTGAAAAAACATTTGTATATTATTTATAAAAGGAAACTTTAAATTTTATAAATTTGTAAAATACTTAAATATTTTTTTATCTTTTGGGGGGAATTCAGAATACCATATTCTCTACTGTCTGTGCATTGATTAAAGCTCTTAACTGAATGTCTGGTTGGTCTGTGTTGCTTCCTCTTGCAGAAGTTGAAATAGCATATTCATTTTGCTGTGGAAGAGGGCAGGTTTGAGGCTGGTCGTTAAGCGCATGTTCATTAATCAGTCAAAGGCAAGCCAATGGCCTTGGTCCTGATCTTATGGTAGTTTGCTGAAAATAAGGCAGCTAGGTATATATGGAACATACACACCTCTCTGCCATTTAACATGTCAGTGTTTTTACTGCTTCAAGCAAAAAATGTGGGTATCATCATTCAGGTGTCTAGAAGTACATTGATAGTTGTGGCTACTTGCATTTACTTGTAGAAACTGATCCATCATAATAGCAACAATACCAGAGCCTTTCAGCAGGGGCAGGAGCAATGTTACACTCATTCAAAAGAGGTGTGAAAGGAGCAGTATTTTCACTGAAAGCAGTTACAAAACACGTTTCACTTGTAAATGGCATTTTTCTTTCCATCCCAGTTTAATTAACTTGGAAACAGATCGGGAATACAATTATGAATCTTGGTACAAAGCTTCAAAAAATCATGTTGGTGGCTTTGTAGCAGATGTTAAATGCATCTAATTACTCCCTTTATTGAAGCTTAACCTGCAGGAGAGCCGAAGAGCATTCAAATCCATTACAGACCATTTTACATATTGGTTGAATAT